GAGGATTCTGGAGGACTGAAAGAACCAATTTCAGGTCTCAGAGCAGCAAAGGTTAAAGCACGGGAGATGCACGTCGAACCCCTTGGATGAAGATGCAAATCAAGGAGTGCGTGGCCAAGGGATGCTGAAAGACCATAAGGGCAGAAATCTGGCCCTTAATGGTGTTCAAGGCGAGCTTCTGCTCAATGCCCAAAGCTGAACCACTGAAAAGGAACGTGGGTGGGCAACCGTAACCTTGTTCCAGCAGATATATGCATTCCAGGTGCAATGAGAAATTTTTAGTGAGGTAGACTTATGTGCCTTTAACATGCTAGTGATCACCAAGCCCGACAACCACCTATCTCTCAGAACTTGGCTTTCAATAGCCAGGTCTGTAAAGCAAGATAAAAGATCAGCCCTTGGTAGAGAGCTTCTAGAAAAGGCAGCTGCCAGGGAACATCTGTGACCAGCTGCAGCATGCTGGCATACCAGGGTCGTCGCGGCCAATCTGGAGCCACTAGAATGGTCAGAATCCCTTCAGCTTCTATCCTGCACAGCAGAAAAGGAAGAAGTTTGAGAGGAGGAAATGCATAAATGAGCCAATACTGACCCCACCACTCCACCAGAGCATCCGACATCCACCAGGGGGTCCCTCACTCTCGCCACAAATCTCAATGCCTTCCTGCTGAGGCAAGATGCTAGAAGATCCACATCTGGGGTGTCCCAGCACAGACAGATGTTTTGAAACATATCTGGGAACAGGGACCACTCCTCCGAGCTAGCTTCTGAAGACAGAGGAAGTCTGCCTGCTAGTTCTCTATGTCTCTACGCCTGGGATGTACAAGGAGGAGGAGTTCCTGCCCACCAAAGAATGAGCAAGGCTTCCAGCGCCACTGCCGCACTCTTGTTCCACCTTGGTTGTGGCATTGTCTTATTGGCTCTTGACCTGGCACCCACGAAAAAGCTCTGTCCATCGCTCCAGATATAGCCTGATCGCCCGAAGTTCCAGGACATTAATCAGTAGTTGAGCATCCTCTGGTATCCAATGATTCTAAGCTGATCTTGACCCTAAGACTCCTGGCATCTGTCATGGCCACCATCCAATGGAGAGGGAGAAAAAACTTCCCAGCTTGAAGAGGAGACTGAATCCACCAGAAAAAAAGAGAGGTCCTGGTCAACTGGCCCAGATGAATCTGATTATTCAAGGACACAGGGGACTTGTCCAACGTGGACAAGATTTCTTTCTGCAGGACCCTTGTGTGGAGCGACAGATACTGAACTGCCTTGAATGTGGACACCATGAGACCCAGGACCTGCATGCAAAGCCACAGAGAAGACTTCCTGCGGGACAGCAGCAGCCAAATCGCAGTGCAATGTTTCTGTAGCTTGTCATGTGGGAGGAACACCTTGGCCAGTGCCGAGATAAGGATTGGACCCAGATACTTCAAGCCTCCTTGTCAGGGTCAGAGCGGACTTCTTGAAGTCCAGGACCCATCCAAATTCCTGCAGAAAGTGTGGATCGTGATTGCCACATTGTCCATCAGTGCAGAGGGAGTCTCCGCTCAACGAAGAAGGTCGTCCATATAGCCAAGCATGGCAATCCTTCTTTGTTAGAACTGGAGCCAGTACCTTTGTAATAACCTGAGTAGAGGCCAGACTGAAAAGAAGTGCCACAAACTGATCATGTCCCAGACGACAAAGTGTAAGAAGTGCTGGTGCCCAGCTTAAATGGGAACATTCAAGTACGTAGCCTTGATGTATATGGAAGCCAGGATATTCCCTGATGAAGGGAAGCGACCGACAGGCTGAATTGCATCTTGACCTTCACCCCCATAAAGCTATTCAGGGCCTTGAGATCTAGGATCCGGCAAACTCCTTTTTTCTTCAGAACCGTAAAACAGGTTGTAGAAAAAGAATTTCTCTGGTGGACAGGAACAAAATTCTATCTTGTAGCCGGAAAAAATCATTTTATGGACCCATTTGTCAGAGAGCAGGAAGGTACATGGACCTGGAAAACCAAAGAGATCATGGTCCTCCCTGGCCACGGGTGGGGGGGCAAGCCTTTATGCTGGGAGGACTTGTCTGCAGACTTCGTGGGCTTGTGGAGCAACTAGTGATGCACCTCATCTGCAGAAGCCATGAAGTTCTTGGATCTTTTGGCCGAGGAGCCAGGGGAATGAAAAAGCCTCTTGTTGGCAGAGAAGGATGGACTCTTCTCACCAGTAAGATTCTCGATGATGTCATCCAGGGTACCTCCAAAAAGACATTCACCCTGGAAGAGTAAGTCTGCCAAGGCCTTTTCAGATGTCTTGTTCACAGACCAGCACTTGAGCCAAAGAACTCGCTAAAGCACCACAGCTGGGACGGAAAGCTTAGAGAGCAATTACCCACACATCTGAGGCCCTGGACCAACTGGTCTGCCAGATCTTTACCCAGACCTTGAGATAAAAGCTTAGTCTACTCTGTAAATATCTGAGCTGCAAGAACTGTGGCCAATACCAATGGCAGTGCCGGGCTGGTAACTGTAAACATAGTGTGGGCGACCGATTCTGCCTTTTGGTTTGCAGGATCCTTAAAGGAGAGGAGCTCTTCCACAGGTACCATGGTTTCATTGTTCAACCTAGAGAAAGGAGGTTCCACAACCAGATGAGAGTTCCAAATTTTCGAAAGAGCCTCCTCAAAGGGACAAGCTACCAGAACGCATTTTGGGACAGCAAAGGGGTGTTTCAGATGTTCCCAAACCTTGTAAACAAATTTATCAAACTAGGCAGGGTAAGGAGAAACCTTAGAAGGAGCCAGCTTGTGAGTACTAAAGGGGTCAGCCCTCGGCAACCCCAGAAGTATCCTTAATCTTTAGATGTTCCTGCACTGAGGTAATCAGTGTGGCCCCAGTGTTTTTTTCCTGCACGGAAACAGTGGCAGAGAAATCATCCTCGCTATCGATTTAGGGACATGGAAAAATTGGGCTTGTGGCAGCAGAAGCTAAATCTGGCTCAGAATAGTCAGAGGAGGAGGGCCAGGATGGGGGGAGAGTTATGCTTACCCTGCGCTTGAATGGCACCTCCACCCAGGAAACAAAGGCTTTAAGGACTACAGACGGCATGTCTAACAGGACAGAGGACTCGGGGGAACTGCCATCTCCGTGGGAGGATCGGGCAGAAGCATGAGCCTGGGACTCCAACCTGAAAAGTATGGTACCACTGGGACACGAACCACCAAAAATAGGGAAGCGGACCACCCCTAACCAGCTGTAGCAGAGAGGGATGGTACCTTAGGTCTGTACTAGAAATAGTTAGGACCCATTGCTTATTTCTACATGGTAACATTGTTAGGTACCATCCAGGGGCGGACTGACCATTTGGAAACCCGGGCACTGTCAGAGGGCCCGGGGTCAGTAGGGGGCCCCATGAGATGCCCCTGGTACCTTTTTCATAGGCTTTTTTGAGTTTGGGCAAGGACACAGGGGCCCCATGATCCCCTATTGCCCGGGGGCCCCATGAGTTGTCAGTCCGCCCCTGGTACCATCCCTATCACTGAAATAGAACAACCAATAATCCCTCTGAGGGGTAATGGGACTTACCAGTGTTTTATATATAGGAGGGAAGGGTGCAGGGGTTCAGAGAAGGGAGGGGGAAAAAAAAAAAAAAAAAAAAACCCTCCTAGGACAAAGCCACAACTGTTACTTCGGCCTGGTATATGTGTACCTGCCTGGATTTGCCTTAGGCGAGTTAGTTTTGTTGTATTTTTGTGATTGTTAATTTGTTTTTAGATGGAACATTGCATTTTCTTATTCTACTGACAGGACAACAGCTCCCTTTGAATGTCCTGAAACGGAATAACATGGAACAGCAAGTATGGCCTTGACCCCCGGAAATTAGCCACCCAGGAACACATGGCTGCTGCTGCAGCAGATTCAGGGAGTCCCTTAGCCTCCCCAGGAAACAACCCCCACCATGTCCAGACCACAGTGCCAGCTCCCCAGGTCAGATGGAACAAACTGCACAAAAGGGTAAAATGGGGGAAAGGAGGATGGAAGGAAAGGACCTAGGCCAGGAGGAGAACCTGCAGGGCCAAACACTCCAAGGAGTATCCATACTCCACACCATGCCTGAGGAAGGGGGGCTATCTACTTACTGATGCAGGGAATAATGAGCAACACTCCTCACATAGATCCTCCTTCCTCCGAGGTGGGGGCTACCAGCCATGGAAAGCAGTGACACAGATGTCAGGTGCCTCTGTGAGACGTTTAACTTGCCATGCGCCCTGGTATGGGGATGTCACAGCCGACCCAGTGCGTAGCTAAAGATTTGCGTGCACTTGCTTGCCAGGCTGGGATCTAGTTTGCCCAGCCTGGATGCTGATTGAAAAACTCTACAGGAATAATAAAGCTATGGCACCACAGTTCCCATCAGGAAACTAGGTCTTTACTCCTAAACACTAGGCAGAAATAACAGAGTTGCATATAGCAGAGAGGGGGCTTATACCAGCTAGGGCTGCATTCTTTTCTGCCTAGTGTCCTACTTTTGTAGGTGGCGCTATATATCCTGTGGCCAAGAATCAGAAGAAGCTGTGTTCATCAATGAACTTCAGAGAGAAATACTTAACTGGTTCCAGCACTAAGTGTTTAAGACAAAATTCAAGAGTTTCTCTTCATTCTACCTGTTAGCAAGCAAGAAATACCTACCTTAAACAAATTATTTAGTAAAACTGAAGTCAGGGTTGCTTATATTTGGAAATATATAAACCAATCCTCACCTCTATATACTACTATAATTCACTTTTGTGTATAGCTAATGGCATTGTGTTCCCACCTAGTATGGTAGAAATTGATTGACCCCTTACCATTTCTGTTACAACACCTAAAGGTCTCCCTGATCCTGTCCCAATAGTAGAGTAACTCTTTTGCATTTATCTAGCATTGTACATAGTGGAATGCCTGTTAGCTGTAATAAGTCTTCAGGGGGCATCTATGGCGATTTAATTTCTATACAGTTTGTCTATTCTTCCTTAACATAAACCAGCTTTTTGGTCTTTTTTCTAGCCTCTCTTTCCTTAGTCAAGCTTTTACCCTTATGTTAGTGTATGTCTGGTGCCGCAGAAATCCTTTCCTACGAATTAATGTCTTTGGTCTTCTCACACTTCAGGCTCCCTTTCTGCCCTGGGTTCTTCTGTGTTTCTCTTTGCTAATAGGAGATTCCATCCTTCTTGACCTGCTGGGTAAGATGTACTTTATTGTGGTTAGGGAAGAGAAAAAACACATTTTTAAATATGAAATTAAAAATATGTTGCATCCAGCCAGCATATGGAGATCTCAGCTCTTTGTCCAATTTCTCCTTACCTCCTGTTGGAAAAAGACTATTTACACACATAAATAAGTTAGAGCAAATGCGCTATAAAAAAAAAAAAAAAAAAAAAAAAAAGGACCAACGATTTTGAGAAAACAAATATTTTTGACTTTTTGCTATTAACATGTCCAGTAAAAAAAATTTATAAAATCAAATTTTGTCAAATTTAGCCCAAAATGTATTCTGCTACATGTCTTTGCTAAAAAAAAATCCCAATACCTGTAAATTAATTGGTTTATGTGAAAGTTATAGCGTTTACAAATAGCAGTATAGATACTGGAATTTTTTTTTTAATTTTTACTAGTAATGGCAGCGACCAAGGACTTATAGTGGGACTGCGGCAGGCATTCTGACACTGGGGGGGGGGGGGGGGGGGGGGGGGAATTGACTTGATGTCACTGACATCCCCAGTGACACCAATACAGTGATCGGTGGGAGAGAAAAAAAAAAAAAAAAAAAAGCACTTACACTGTACTAATGGCACTGGGCAGGAAGGGGTTAACATGAGGGGCGATCAAAGGGTTAACTGTGTGCTGTTTTATTTTACTTTACTGTCTGTGTGCGTGCTTCACTGTAATCACACTGCTACGGATGGCTGTGCACAGCCATCCAAAGCAGTGTGCATGAGCCGACAGGGAGAACTGTATTGTTTACATACAGCTATCCTCCCCATTAGAGATGCTCGGCAATCACCGGGCCGGGACCCAGTGATTGACAGCCATGGATGTGAATGGCGGCGCGGGTAGGAACCCCATACCTGGAAATGCAAAATCACGTGAATATATATATATACACATCATTTTGCGCACCCTTGCCGCTCTGTAGCAGTATATCTGCTATAGGGCGATCAGGAAGCAGTTAACGCGGAGTTCCAGTCCAAAAACTGTAGCTGCTGGCTTTTAATAAACACACCCTCACCTGTCCCAGGGTCCAGCAATGTGCTCACCCGAGCTGTCCTTTATCTCCCTGGCATCTCCACTGTGGGCACCAGGCTGTGCAGCTTACAGCTTCACAACCCGGTGCCCGTCGCGCTGCACATTCAGATTGGTCCAGCAGTCTTCTGGAACCTTTGAAGTATCCCAGAAGACTGCAGGAACAAGGAGGGGGCCAAACTTCCTGCTCACTTTGCTGCAGCGAAATGAGCTGGAAGTGGGAGCGGGTACCTGTCAAAACCAGGTATCCACTCCCTCCCAAATAGTGACAAATATGGCAGTGGAGGGCGGGGAGAAGGCAAACTTGTGGAGATTCCACTTTTGGGTGAAACTCTGCTTTAAATTGAAAAGAAAAAAAGTTTTGACTGGAGTTTGGCTATACTCTCTTCTGTCTTTCCCAGTCTGTGTATGCCAGCTCTAATGGAGCATTATCCTCCACATCCAACAACCAGAGCTGTGACAGGTGTTGAAAAGGAGCTGACCTCACTGTAGGGTTCTAGATGTACATGAATTCATGCACCAAGCTTCTTACGAATAGGATAGCAACACAAACTATTAGGTTTGGTGTCATTCCAAGGTCAAATATATCTGTGCATTATGCCATTTAATAATTCTTTAATGGCCTTCCTTTTTCAGGCATTGCAGCTGGACATATTTACTTTTTTCTAGAAGATGTTTTCCCAAACCAGCCTGGAGGAAAAAAGCTTCTAGTTACTCCTGCTATTTTGTGAGTATTAAAACAGGGAAAATGGCGTGTCCTCGTTCCAGCTATTTGTTTACATATAACTCTGGTGAAACTTAAGTATTTTATTTGCTGAAAGTTTACAGCCAGAACATCTTGTGCTTTTAAGATTATCCATGTAAAGATACAGCGGATGGCACTGGGAACAAGAGGTGATTAACAGATCAATTTAGTGTTAGTTCATGCTCTACCTCAAGTCAGCACACATGGGAGAAAGGGTATATAAAGATAACTGATCATGTAAAAATAATTGAGCAATTTAGATGGTTAATGTCTATGTTGAGAATTCAGACAAATAAATCCAAGTTTAGAAGAGCACACATTTCTGTTAAATGCCTTGTGATGCTAAGAGAAACAATAGAGGTTGCCATTATGAATTACTAATCTATTTCAAGTATGCATGAAATAACAGCCTAAATACAATTTCTAGTCCAGGTTTCCTTTAAAGTGTAACCCCACCCAAAACATTTTTTTTTACATTTTGGACAAAGTAGGAAAGAGATAAAACATGTTTTTTTTGGGGGTGTCTGTATGGGATATTTCCCCCACACCTCTAGACTAGAGCTGGCCATACTCTAGTAGAATTCCAGTAGAAATTTCTTGCTTTAAGAACGTTGGTTTGATTTTTTAATTGTTCATGGGGTCAAAATGATGTTCGTTTCTGACCACAGTGAGTTCAAAAAAGCAGACTGGACATTTTTTCTTGAATTTTTCAATAGTAAAGGTGGTTTTCATTCAGGAAATTACATTCATTCCAAAATGTATTAAGTACTTTCAATCATCATTTGTCAAGTCTTCAAATGTACTTTGAATTTCTGCACCAATGCGCATTTAAAAATCTAGTGTATGGCTAGTTTAAATTTACAAACTACTAAGATGCTTGTATTTTTGCAGTACCCTGCACTGTTTAGCATGGCCAATACAGGAGAGGCCACCACACAAACTACTGCAAAAAATTAACCTGATAGGAGTTGATAATTATATGCATGAGTCACTACATTCTGTATTTGCATATGGAAGCAAATTGGCACTAGACACATTGATCATCAAGACTTATATGTTTTTAGGCTCATATTCTGAGTGTGCTGGCAGATATAAGAATGAATGCCTATATCATACAAGCGGACGTGAATGTAAACTGGAGACAGCCCTAATTTTGCTCACATTTCATGAGAAAAGGCCCTTACATTAAGTACCACCTCAACAATACCCTTTCTCACTTGCCAAATTCAGCTAATCTTGGCAGGACTGAAAGTCAAACTAACCTCTGTTGGGTATGTTTAATCTTTAATATGTTTGAAAACCTCAGCAGCTCCCACAGATTAAAGAGAGTATCTTTACCCTGTAAACAAAAATGTAAAAGGCAGCAGCTACAAAATACTGTAGTTGCGGACTTAAATAAAAACACACGGGTTGATTTGCTAAAACTGGAGAGTGCAAAATTTGGTGCAGCTCTGCATAGAAACCAAATCAGCTTCCAGTATTTTTTTTTGTCAAAGCTTAATTGAACAAGCTGAAGTTAAAAGCTGATTGGCTACCAAGCACAGCTGCACCATATTCTGCATTTTCCAGTTTTAGTGAATCAACCCCACACTTTATCTGTCCCAGGATTCAGCGCTGTCCTCACCCGACCCAGCCCTTTACTGGTCTCCAGGTCCAGGCACTGACATCTTAACTGTGGGCAGATGACTCACAGCCGGCTTCCCACACTGTGCCCAGTGAATGGTCCTGCAGTCTCCTGGGACCTGTGACGTGTCCCAAGAGGCTGAGGGGGAAGGTCCGACCTTCCACTCAGATCGCTGTAGTGATATGACCAGAAGTGTGAGCAGGTACCTGTCAAAATCATGTACCTGCTCTCTCCCCCCCCCCCCCCCCCCCCCCCCCAAAAAAAAAAAATAAAAATATTGGAAGAGAAGGAAAAGTGTGAGTTCCCTCTTTTTGGTGAAGCTTCCCTTTAAGAACCCTAAAATTTATTTTGGCTGTAAACGATACAATAAAGCACTAGTAAAAAAGTCACATTCAGAAAAAAAAGATTACAAATAAGATCATGCAAAATCCTCTCATCAGTCTTGCCCCAAAAAAGGTTTGCAGTCACTGCATTGTGTAAATGATCGAGTCTTACTAGTCTTGTCTCTGCTCTCTACAGAAAGCAAATATTTGATGTGCCATTAGCAGATCCCAATTATAATCCACTACCAGAGGATTCTGTAAACAGACAGCACCAAGATTAACCACCTCCAAAAGCCCAGGACGGAGTTATCTACTTACCAAGCTCTGGTTTTCAGTACTGAAACATTACCTAATGTAACTTGAAATAATAAAAGCTCTTGTTAAAACACTTGAAATGTTCATTGCAATTGTAGTAATAAAATCCTACATACCATTCAGCTGGTGTTAAAATCACGTTTTCTATTAATGCATTAGCAGAGGTTCATTCTAATCTCTACTTCTGGAGAATATTCTTCCATAGTCTTACCTTTCCAAGCAGGTCATTCCCAATAAGGCACGTTGATGGATATAAAAATACACATTATCACAGTGCATAAGACAAACATGTATTAAGCATAAAACACCACTCAAACAAGGAAAGATATTGAGCATCAGTTTTATTTAAAAAGTTTTTTTCTACAAGTGCATGAAGCACCTATACAAATTAAAAATAGAACACAAAAAAGCTTTACATATCACGTACACAGGTATAAAGGAGGGCTTGGGACATCTGTCTCAGGTCTTCCGGTAGTCAGGTAGCACTAATGCTTCACACTCTGTACATGGAAGGAAAGGATGTGAGGGAGTCAAACACAGCAGCACCCAGCTGCTTTCAAAGTGGAATGTGTGGGTCCCCCGCACCTTCTGATTTGGCTCAAGAGGTGCTGTGACCACCCTCCTCTCCTCCACAAAACTTTAGTCTTAGTTTTTTGTTTGTTTTTTTTTTTACTTTTTCCTTTTTAATTGTTACTTTTTGTTTATTTATGGGGCGGGGTTCCATCTCCAGGATGTGAACCGCGAGTTTCGTCGGGAGGGGACTGTTTACCAGGCCGGTGCAGTGTTGGCAAGACGTCTCATACGCCTATAGGGAGGAAAAGAGAAGAGGGGCAAGGTAAATGATTAGGAGGTTGTAGCTGTACTCTTAACACTAAGTCAGAGGATCATCCTATGGGGGATTTTTACGTAATACTCTCCAGTGGAAAGAAACATTCTGATCTCATTACCTCTAATTCACTTCCAGCCACACTAATTTAGCAAGTAAAACAGAAAAAGCATATAAAACATTTCCTATATCATAATAAAGGTTAAATCTAGAGGTCACTCACTCATTGGCACCAAATCCAGTACTGCCAATAGTAGTGCCTGTTAGGCCACAAGTGTGCTTGACAGCTAAAAGTATAGCTAACAGAGCATGCACAATTGTACATACTGTATCTCTGGCCTAAACGCTGAAAAAATATATTCAGTACTATAGTTTAGGTAGGGTCGAACAAATTAATGCAAAATTCAAGAGCTACTTTTAAGGAGCCAGAAAAGATGCTTCTGCTGGCTATAGAAAGGCTCATAAAAGTTAGGTGCCATTTATAATTTATTTAGGCACATTGGCTACCAGGATGCTGAGATTTCTCCAGCCCTGGTCCAAAGGATAATAGACAGACAAGGATTACCGATATCTATCCTAAACAGATTTTAGTAAACTGAAAAATAGTTATCTATTTAGTGGTGGGATTATATCAAATACTATTAGAATTAAAAAACACAGATTCCTTGTGCAAATACTGGGCTGCTTTGTAATAAAGCAAATTCATTGGTAAAACAAAAAAAAAAACAAAAACAAATTCTACTGATTATAAGGTACAATGTCTAATGATCTAAAAGCTTGCAAATGCAGACCATCTTGCAAATCAAAATGCCTGCCTTTAAATGTATCAAGAAAAAAAAAACACCTTTGTCAGTGAAAGGTGTTGAGGCTGTGATAAAATAAAGGCATTGAAAGTGCTGGAAACAGAAAAAAAAATACAAAGGTTTTTCCTGTATTTAAAATTGCAGGGTTCTCTGCAAGACTTTTCTGTGTTTTTTCCTATATATGCATCCTGCTAGGGGCTAGTTGTTTCAAGAAGTGACACCATGAAAAACTTGGAATGTATACCAAAATCAAAGTATAAGAAATGGTGGTCACAGCAGTTATTTGACTAAACTGCTTTGAGGGGAAAGGACTTCAAACTTTTTCATGGTGTATTCTTGAAAAATTGGCAGGATAAGCACAACGTGAACCCTATTTAGAAAAATAGGGAAGCTGGTTTATCTGCTGGGAGGTTAAACAAGAGGAAAGTAGTCTGTGAGGTTTGGTATTTGTAAGGTATGACATAACATATTTGTTAATACATTCATGGCCTTGATTTGGCATATTTAAAAAACACAGCTACTAAGCAACTTGTTCTATTCCCTTGTGCTATACGAAAACCAGACACTGACACAACTGGTCAACACTAGAAGCACCAAACCAGACTACATACACACCAACTTTTCTAAAAAGGCACAATGCAAAAACCAGTAAAGACATCTTGCATACAAAGAACAATTAAGTCAATATATAGATATGCTGTAAAGGGATTAAAACAGTTACATAAATGCCTAACCTTTCACGTTTTTCATTTAACAAGGGTAGAGACATTTTCACTACTGTTAATTGGCAGATCTGAATGTCCGTAAGTACCAACAACACACAAAAGAAACTAGTAACTCACAAGTCTAAGGGTACAGCAATGGAGAGCATCAACAGTACCATCAACCCAGCTGATCATACAATTCCAGCTCACTACTCATAATGCTAATGCTGTGAGGAACTTTAGCGTCTCTAAATCTTTTACCTGTTGGAGGGGGTAGTACTGTATATAGCACAACATTACTTTTTGTACTCCTGTCCTATCGTACCCAGTGATTCAATGGAGAATTCAAATGGCACTGATTATTTTTACTACAGTTATAAATTGCCCCCACTTCAGAACCACTGATCCACATATCCAATTGAGGCAATAAGGCCCTTTAGGGGCTCCACAACCAGCATGGGCCAACCTTTCTGAAAACGAAAAACGTTTCCTTACCATCCAAGAAAACATTAACACTGTCACTACCACTGTCATACACCTAAAAGTAAAGCAATTAAAATGGTTTTATAATAATTCATAATACTGCACATACTTCATAAAGCCACCACCTGCACTATAATCGGTGGAAATTCACGTTGCATTTAACTGCGGCATGCACCAGTAGAATTATGCTCTACAGGGACTGGCAGAAGTTAAATGATTACATTTAGCATTTAAAGCAGCAAAGCTATCTAGAACATTTCACAAGCATATTTTTGGCACCAGTTTTTAAGTATTGCCTACAATATAAAGATTACTAAAGCTAACAGGAATACAACACACTAAAGGACATAAATGATTCTGTAGTCTGCATACTTCTGTTACAGGGGCTACTCTGATTACAGAAACCAGCAATATAGAATATACTGCAGGTCCCACCACCAGATTAAGGGAGGCAAGAGGGTGTCAGACTATCTCAATGTGAGACAATGGAATTAGTTAGAATTTGGTAATTTTAAGTGCGTAAGGCGCTAGGGCCAAGTAAGGGCTATCAGGGAATTTCAGCATAGAGGGTGCTACTAAGCTAATGGCGAGCACTGGGAGAAATGTCCAATCCCACCAGCTTAAGTCAAACGAAATACCAAACACGTCACTTGCAAAGTGTGATAATGATTAAAAGAGGAGCTCCATAGGCTGAAGCACGACAGCACAGACACGGAAAAAGACATCACTTCATAGGCTGGTGCGCAAAAGCTGAAATGTCTTCCTCGTGGACGCTCCGAGGAAGTGCCACCTTGTTGTCTATATTCTACCCCGACGAGAAGCCCGGAAGGAAAATCGTATGAAACGACGGTGGCACCTGGTGTTTCTGTCCTGGTCACGGATCTTCTTTTCCATTTCAGCATCTGTAAGGGTCTCCAGAAGTGGGCACCACTGGTCTGCATCACCTGTATTTCGGATGGCAATCTCCACAGTTGGCAAGGGGTTTTCACTGAAATATAAACAAACACATTAATAAGGGATAAAGTCACATTGCATGCATTTCTTTCATGGGACGCTTCAGCCCATTCTAATGTGTTCTCAACTTCACATTTTACACTATGCAGTAATACGTGCCTAAGCATCTATTTGCTGGGCCTAAAACTGAACTCTTGTATGATTTTTTTATGATATATGATAGTTACATTTGTCCAGCTTTCAATGTAAGTATGCATACCTCATACTTAGAAGCTGCAAATCAAAAGTCCAGCTACTACAATGATATCAGCAATCCCCTGTCCTGTGATAATTGGCTTCTCTTCTTGCAGTAACCATGTGGAAGTGGGTGGGGGGTGGGACTCACTTGCTCAACACTGGCATCAGGCACAAATCACACTATTTTTTCAATGACTGGATGAGGTGGCGATTGTGCCAGTGATGCCCCACCTTGTCAAATCAGGGAATGCCTTGTATTCATTAAAAAAAATAAAATAAAATAAAAACAAGCTTGTCACTTCTGGGAACAGAACCTCAAAGATCGCTACTAGTGCTAGCACTGTACAATTGCTTCCACAGCAATTGCTCAGGTACAGGATATGCATATTTCCATTGGTCCAAGCTGCACCAATGTAACTGCTATAAAAGTCATACCTGGAGTTCAGCTTTAAGCACTCATATGGTTGTAATGTTATGCCAAGTGCAAATATCACATTTTAGAAAGCTGGTATTACATATGATCTTTGGAAGACAATAGTAGTAATTGTACATTGAACAAGTACGCAGATTCACTTCACTGGCAGCACTCTTGCCCCAGGTTAATGAGATATCCAGGAAATCTATCAACTGGCAATTGCAGCTTTCTCAAAGCTTTTTAAAAGTAATAGGACATCTGGGAGTATATGGAATTTCATCAAAGTGCTCAATGTTTCGTGTAGACCTTTTCCTGACTGAAAACACATGCTTACAGTCATCACACGTGATAAGCTACTTATGTTGGATATTCTAAGTCAACTGGTAAAAAAAAATTTAGAGCTCATACAGACAAGCACTGATGAGCAAACATCTAGGAGCACGTGGCTTACAGCTGTCACCCCTGCCCTGTCAAGACTTCCTGAGATTCCCTGCTGCTTACCCAGTGGGGTAGACAAAATGAAAATGCCTGTAATGTCACACAGCCAGATGCTGCAGGCAAGGTTTTCATGCAGCTCAGTGGGAAAAAAGCATTTCACCATTTGGCTATTAACCCTTTGACGCCGACGTAACACAAATATGCGGCCTCACGGACCTGGGCTTTTTTCCGTGGGGCTGCATATTTGCGTACCTGTCTTTGTGTTGGGAGCGCGCCCCTTTTACCCTTAGGCGTGAAGGGGTTAAAAAGACTTTTAGTCTGGGTTCATTCTAGGTTTTTGAGATGCATTTCCAACATCTTGGTTGATCAAAGTATTTCCTCCCTCTTAAAGTGCAAATTCTTCAAACAGGTCTATCGGCATGGAACAGAGGACCTACGGTTGCTATCTGACTGTAGTGCTCACTGAATGAAATAGGCATGTGTAGACCCCTGGACGCTGCCTTTGCAGCTAAAGGGAAAGGTGTTCAGGGATGGTAAAAATGCAACTCAACAGTTTTACTGCCCCTCAACTGCAAGTGTGAACGAACTTGCAATATTGGAAATAAGTTTACTAAGATTTGGGACACATGACTGCAGTTTTAAGAACACACTGGACACACTTTGCTTTTGAAAGCAAACAGTAGCAATATATCAATATGACAACACTGATGATACAAGTTTGTCCCAATGGTCAGTGTCAGGGTCACTGAAAGCTGCCCGTTTGTCCCTATGGAATCACTCTAGCCGTACCATCTCTTAGTCGTTTGTCACTCCCATCTCTTGCAATGAATATCTTGCAATGTTTGGATCTGCAGTGATAAATCGCTGCCTAAGAGCAATTCCATAAGGACAAATAAGCAGCCTCTTAGTGATTCTAAGGCCTCATACACACAGCTGCTCCTAAACTCACGTTTTTGGAGCTTTAGGAGTTTTTTTTTGTTTTTTTGTTGTACCAAAGCCCCTCAACTCAACAAAAGCCTATGTGTCCATGTACAGATAGGCTTTTACCAGAGTATAGAGGCAGAAGAATCAAATTCAAAAGAGGAGAAAAATGGTAAACGCTACAAAAACGCATGTGAATGCACCTAAGCGTGCGTTAACTCTAGGCGCGTTTAGCGCTTGGGCATTATGTTCATTTAATTGGCTAGAATTATTATTCTGAATAAAATGAATAAACTCCCAATCACTTGACATGGGTAAACACAGAACATGCGTTTACCAGCATCAAACGTTTATTTGCTGCCAGGAGAAAGGCGTCCAGGGCAGTTTATTTTAGGGTACATACACGCTGGACGTTAAAGGGATAAGTTCACTTTTTGCACAAAAATAATAAATGCACTTTTTTTTTGCAGGTAAAAAAAAAAAAAAGAAAAAAAAAAGGGGGGGGGGGGGGTTATTTTTATTCGGCCCGCAGGGCAGGGGCGTATCTGCTGCGAGGCAAGGGACTAGGGTTTGCCAGGACGGGAGAGCTCGGCAGGGCTCGGGCGGGAGGCAGGCAGGATGGAGGGATCAGCAATTCTAGAACAGGGGAAGGTGGGCTTGGCTTATGAACCGCACCACTCACCTGGCCTCTCTGCAGCCAGCCGGCCATCTATTCTGATCAGTGCATGCAACCGTCATGGCCGGAGGGAGGAGCCTAGAGCTGACCATGAAGAGGGGGAGCAAGAGAGGAGACTCCATCGCTGCATGTCGGGTATCACAGCAGTGGGGGGGGGGGGGAAGGGGTAGGAAGAACACGGACCCTAGATAAGTGCAATAGAGGATCGATCTGCTCCTCTCCCTCCCCCCTCTCTCCCTCCCCCTCCTCTCTCTCTCTCTCCCCCCCCCTCTCTCCCTCTCTTTACATTGTACACAGATCTGTCCCAACAAGGTGTCCTGCATTTACCATATATTTCGCTCCATAAGACACACTTGGGGGGAAATGTCTGTGCGTCTTATGGAGTGGCCGGCCCAGTATTCCCGCTGCCGTTGCATGTCCGCAGTCTCTGGTAATCTCATGTACTATGACCGCAGTCTCTGGTCATCTCCTGTACTGTGTCCGCATTTTTTCATAGGTTTTTTTTTTTTTTTTTTTTTTTTAAACTATAGTCCGGCCCTTCAACGGTCTGAGGGACAGTGAACTAGCCCCGTTTAAAAAGTTTGAGGACCCCTGCTGTAAAGCATTGCACCAGCGATCAGCAGATTACTGGTGCTATACAGGTCTCCTGCAGATCTGTCAGTATAACTGCTTGCCTGTACGGGACATACAAGCAAGCAGATATACTGACAGGAAGATTCAATGAACTACCACGGCGCTCCACAGCGCGGGAAGAGGGTGGGGGGTGCGGAAATTGGGCGGCAGCAGCAGTAGCATTGGGACCATGAAAACTGCTGATTTTACAGTTATTGGCAGAATTGCTTGTGCTCCAAGCTTAAGCTAATGATAAACAGGCACTTTATTCGCAAATCCCCTTGCTGCATTTTTTAAAGGCAATTTCTTGCTAGGCAGAGGTGTAACTAGAACCTTAAGTCCTGGTTAACACTGGATTCGACTTTGAAATTGTGCGACTTCACTTGAGTCGCACAATTTCAAATTCAGATAGCAGTGCGACTTGATAAGACATCTGTGTCATTTCATGCACAGATATCTATGAAAGCTGCACCCCAAATTGGCAAAAGTAGTGAAGGAACTACTTTTACAAATCGGTGCAACGAAGTCGGAGTCGCACCAATTAGAAAGGTTCCATTGCCGATCATTGCATGCCATGTGTCATGCGATTTGAATGGTGAAATCGCATGTCAATTCGCTCACATCAGCGTGAACCAGGGCTAGAGCCCCGGTGCAAGAAACCACGAAGGGACAATCTAACACCCCCCCCCCCCCCAACCCTGGGGTCCTTATCACTGATCCCGGGACCTTTCCACATTCTGCAGCAGGCCCTCTTCCTACAGATTTTTTTCTCAGAGAATAGGCGCAGGAACTTATCCTGCCCCTTCCTAACCACCTCCCCTTCCCCTACCCTGCCATAGTAAATTGGTGCCAAATAATGGGTGTGATCAAGGCTCAGAACTGCATATTGCACAAGGCTCAGGAATGTGAGCATACAGAATCCAAAACTCAGGAGTGTGTATCACACAAGGACCAGAAAAAAAATAGGACTGTATTTACATTAGATGCAAAGGAGTTTATTTACTAAAGCTGGAGAGTCCAAAATCAGACTCCCTTCTGCATAGAAACCAATCAGCTTCCAGGTTTCATTGCCAAAGCTTCATTGAACAAGCTGAGGTTAGATGCTGATTGGTTTCTATGCAGAAGGGAGTCTGATTTTGGACTCTCCAGCTTTAGTAAATAAACCCCAAAGTGTCTCTTGTGCTGCCAACTGCTGTTCTCGTTGAATTTTAAAGTCCTCTGCCCCGTGACAGGACCCTTGGGCCTATTATATGCACACAGAACATAGAGAGCTAACAGGGAGCATGCTGTCCCCAGCGAATTTCCCTTGTCCTCTCCAAGGCAAAATCCCCCCTTCCTTTAAGTGTTCCCCCCAAAACTAACCTCCTATATCACCTCTGCACCCCCCTATTCACAATTCACCTATGCAACCCTTGTCCACAGTTCACCTTTTTTCCTTCCTGTACACAGTTCCCCTTAGCACTCCCCTCCATCCACAACTCTTCTTTGTACCCCTTGTCACCACTGCATTCTTCCGTCCACAGCCTACACTCCAGTCACCTCTACATTCCCAACCACAGTTTATCTCTACACCCCATCCATAACTATCCCAACAGCTCTCTACTCTGCAGAAATCTCACCCCCTTCCCAGCTCTAACCTCTGCACAAATTCACCCCCCCCCCTCCCCCCAACAGCTCTCATCTCTGAACAAATGCCCCCTTTCCCAGTTTTCACCCTTGTACAACCCCCCCCCCCCCCCCTCCCAGCTCTCACTTCTGTACAATACACACCTTTCTCAGCTCTCACATCCTCTGCACCAGACCTCCTAATTTTCCCAGAGTTGTCTTTCTACACAACACCCCTTCCCCCACAGCTCTCACCCTCCCTCACAGCTTTTCCCTGCATCAAATCCTCAACCTTCCCACAGCTGTCTCTCTGCACTACCTACTGCCCCCCCCCCCCCCCCACCCCATCCTTCCACAGCTCTGTAGCCTCTGCAGAAATACCCTCTTCACTGCTCTCCCCATAGCCTTTTCTCCTCTTCAGACATACAGCCGGCACCACTCAGGTACACGTAGGTTTTTGTCTTTTTTCCAAGTAGAGAACAATCTGATTTGGGCAGCTTAGCCCATCAGAATGGTAGCACAGAGCCGAGGAGGAGTTTCAGAGTGCTGCACTCAGCTCTGTGCTACAGAGGTTTGACAGGCAGTGAGCGGAGACAGAAGCCACCACTCGAATCCCCACTTTAAAGCAAAAATATAGGCGGTTGAGGCATTGGGTCCCAGGGCACCCATCACTAGCACACAGAAGAGGAAGTAATGCAGAAGACTTCCCTCTACCGCTGCCTGTGCTGACAGGTTGCAGAGGGCAGGTTGCCCGAGGTGGCGGAACAGAGGTCTGCCACATTCTGGGGTCCACCCACAGTGGCGGAACGTCAAGGCCAGGTCACAGGTGCTACGTTTGTGACCTGCCAAAATACTAAAAGTAGACTAAAACCCTTTTAAAGTTTAACAAGCTTAACAAGCTTTCTTTTCCTTTTAAAGTTTAACAAACTTACTGGAATGTACCCAGCAAAGCCTTATATCCTGCAGAATGTAGAAAAAAAGATATCTGAATTCCATTTGGACATTTAAACAGAAAAAAATGCCTAAAGTCATACATTTGTTTCCTCTTATGATTCAGAATTTACCTTGAGGCAATCACAAATATGAATTCTTACTTCTTTTGGCTTATAACCAGGGAAACAGAAGGTCATTATTTATTGTGCACAGATCATCATTCGAATAATAACGGCTGTTGCCATTTTTTAGGCTATGAAGCTAATAGAATTTGCAACATATATGAATTTGTAATCTGATAAAAATCTGTTTTGGTATTTTTACAAGTAGCACCACCCAAAACTGTTCTGTAATGGTTGGAGCAGAAGGGAGTTCTGTCCCCCACCAGGCCTTGGATCATGGTACAGAGACTTGATAAGAGCACTTTATGTCGGCTACTGAAGCATGTTCTCTATATAATCTGCACATACATTTCTATGTCCAGTGCCTTGAAGTACAGTTTTCCCAAACTTGAACTCAAGTCACACAAACAGCTCATGTGTTTTTGTATAACATAGATGTTACATACATACATACATACATGGTTAACCTGTGAAACTGTAATTTGTTGTCTTATTCATAAGAATGCATTGAAGGTCTCTCTTTAGTAAGAAACTCCCAGCAGGTCTCCCCACCAGATCTCAAGAGAGCTGTATACATTTGGTGGGGGGTTGTACAAGACTCACTTCACACAGAATACTAAACAAAAACTTGTTTTGGGATGACTTCTTTAAGACCTGTATACAAGGATCAAACCTTGGACAGTTTAGCAGGAACTGGTTGAATTTTGATCTGTGTGCAGCCCTCTCTGTTTGACAGAAGCCAATTATTGATGGCCTCTGTCAAATGGTCAACTAGAAAGCCTGCTTTCATGAGCTGCTGCAGTGCTGATCAGTGTATTCCGAAAGGAGGGAAGCCCCTGCTGTCAGAATACAATAGTACAGTGGGATTGATTCCTGCATCCACCTCGCTTGTGCTGATGCAAGAACCATTGGCTGAAAAAAAAAAAAAACAAAAACTCAGTGTGTACTCAGCTTAATGCAAAAACGTCATTCCTCTTAAACCCAGCCCATAATCAATGGGTAGACTGTCTTACTGCGACACGTCAACATGCGAGTGGTAATACACTGCAAAACAGTGGTAATCTATTAATGGGCCCTGTGAAATATCAAGGTCAATGTGTCCTTTGTTCACCAATTCTACAAAGTAAGCCAAAAATACATGAATTCTTCCCAGCAGCCAATTAAAATGCATCCTTTTCTTCATGTTAATTGTCAAAGAGGGAATTTAAAAGGGATTTAAGTACAGTTTAAGTGTCAATTCTGACCCCTTTGTGTATATCATAAAATAAATATAAGGTATAAGCACCACAGGCAGTAATGGAACTATTGTACCTTTATGGAGCATTTTCAGTAACCCTCCAAAAATTAAAAGTCAGCAGCTACAAAGACTGCAGCGGCTGACTTTTAATAAAAGGACACCTACATGTACAAGGATCCAGCACTGTCCTCACTCGGGTTGGTTCTCCGCTTGTCTTTGGCTCCCTAGTGCCAGCATGTTTACTAAGGGAATCCAAAACAGGCTTCCCACTGCGCATGTTTGAGCTGTGCTTTGTGAATGGTCTTGCAGCTTCAGTTCACTTCAGCTTCAAGTGGAAGTAGGAGTGGGTCAAAACCAGGTATCCACTCCCCCCCCCCCCCCTAAAAACTGATTGTTGAAACCCAACTGTTGTCATAACCAGCTTTAATTTTCTGGAAAAACCTTTCAAAGCCCAGCATTCAGACTTGAAAAACTTTCAAGTACTAATCTCTATTTGCATATGCACACACAATTTTTAAACTAAATAATGATGTCCCTTGACTGTGCTACAGTAATCAATGATGATGGTGGATGTAGCATTCCACTAACTGTCTTTCAACAACCCTGATGTGAATTTTATAGCAACAAGTCAGCCTACCTGAATGCGTATGTCTTCTGGTGCCAGCTGAGCTGCCCGCGGATGCTGTATGCGATAGTGGTGACAAATTCCCCGCCCAAACCAAGCTCAGAACATAATTTCAGTGCAAACTTCTCTGGTGAATTCTCCTTCTCCGACATGTCCCATTCAAACTGGTCCACCAAAGAAATGTTCCCAACGTGGATATTCAGCTGAGAAAGAACATAAGGACAAAACCACGAACCAGAAAGTGAGGCCGCTATCCTCTATTCACCAGCATAAGTAACTTAGAGACAGAGCTGATTGAACACTCATAGGCAGCCTTGCTTAAACACAGCAGAATCTGCAAGTGCCATGCAAAAATGGCATGCAGGCATCAACTTACTTACACACTGAACAACTAAACTGTCACCTTATCAGAGAAGACAAACACTGCATGCTTACAGTTGCTCTAAATGAAGTCCATGCAACACACTGCAAGGGCATGCATTTGGGCCAGCTAGGAATGAATATAAAAAGATAAAAATGTTACAATGCTTTGAAAAAAAACAGAAAAGATTTTGTTATCAGTGTACCTTGATAATGACTCTCTGATCGGACTGATCCTCAAGTATGCTGTCAGTGGGATAAGATTCTATCTGCTGACGGATCGCTGAAGCAATAGCCGGTACAAAAGCAAGGGGGTTAAGGTCTAAATCATCACAGAGGATCTCTGCAAACATTTCAGGAGTCATTAACTTCTCTGTAAGAAAAAAAAAAAAAAAAAATCATATACACAATAAAAGGAAGGTTTGATATTTTCTAGTGCCTGTTCTGTATTCCAGGCAACAAGTGAAAAAATTCAGTGAACTGCCAATGATATCTAGCAATTATGGCAACTATGATTATATCAGAAAGTTCACTTCATTTACCCTAATCTGAGTTCTCTAACAAACTGCAGACAGATTCCAGAAAGCATCTCACAGGGTCAGTGGGAATGGGCTTTCTGCAGCTTCAGTTGCATATCTTTCTCTCTCCTCCCAATGTCTCCACTCACCTCCAGTGTGTGTACTTTTTTTTTTTTTTTACTGTCCTCACTCTGGCATCTCTGCTCTCCTTTACTGTTCCCACTCAGCTTTGGTAGCTCTGCTCTTCTCTAGGCCTTGTTCACAGTGCATACAGCAAGCTTTTGCAAAGCAACTGTTAAGATTTCATCAGGCTTCGGGCAGCATTGATGAAGTCTTAACAAAAAAACAAAACACAAAACTTTAGTTCCAGTATAGGGATGCTCCAACATAGGTCTTAATGGGAGTGCAGACTTTCAATTTAAACAAGTAGCTAAAAGGCTTCAGCATGCATTCAACAAATTTCAAGTAGTCCTGAAACCTAGTGTTCAAGTGACAGTCAAAACTTGATTGTGCTTAGCCTCGTAAAAGCTTGTTCATATTAAACAAGTTGAAGCCTTATGTCTTCACTCAGCTCCTGCAACTCTGCTCCCTTTTACTGTCCCCACTCAGCTCCTGTGACCGTGCTCTCTTATGGTTTCCACGCCACTCCAATGACTTGCCACTTCCTTTTATTGTTTCTTTTCAGCCCCAGTGACTCTGCACCCTTATATGGTCCCCACTCAGCTGCTGTGACTCTGCTCTTTTAGTTTTCACTCAGCTCCTAATAACTATGCACTCTCTTTTATTGTTTCCACTCAGCTCCAATGACACCCATATCCTTTTACTGTACCTTCTGAGCTCCAGTGACTCTGCTCACCTTGCACAGTTAATCAGCATTACACAAACCATTTTTTGGGGTTTTTTTTGTTTTACTGACTGGATAGCTCACCTTTTGACAAAAATGATAGTTGCCTATTTTGCAGTTTAGGCAGAAAGATTTACTAACACATAAGCTTAGCTGGGGATTACCTCTGAATTATAAGCACCACAATACTAGGCATTTAGAAAAAAGTTGCTAGTTTATTTGTAAAGCTGATCTATAATCAAATACACACAAAGGTCAGTGTTAATTCCACTAACCAAATGGATCCCAATTTAACAGTTTAATAGATTCACGCAACCACCGACCACCAACTGTAAACAGTTCCCTAGCAAACTGTATGTGAAGTTTTATTTCAGCCTTGTTGCGCTATTATGGATAGTTAACTAAAAATAAATTAAAATGTCCTCACACACTTGTCAGCAATGAAGACATAATGAAGTTCCAGCATGCTGCACAATACTCTCTTGGCTGTCCATTGCCAGTGAACATGCTCCTCTCTCCAGCTCTCCGAGGAAAGGGGTATTTTTACTGAAAGGTTTAAACTGGCAACATGGTCTAAACAGAGAGAGAAGTGTAACAGATAATCAACTTGCATCCTCTGGTGTCTGTTTTAGGCCTAGTGCACACTGGCTTTGAAAGCAGGTGTTTGAGGGGCGTTTTTAATGCTCCTCAATGCCTATGCAAACAATGCTATGGGCAGCACACAGTGCTTTTCACATTATGAAAACATGAGGCGTTAGCGTCACATTGCTTCAAAATTGAAACCTCACATTGAATCAGGAGGAGTTTGAAGCATTTCAACGCCTCCTATTCAAGTCTATGGTGACGCTCCTCAAATGCCCTGGCAGGCGTTTGCGAGGCATTTGCAGTGTGGAGCGTTAATAACATTACAGTTTATTTAGTGTGTGTGATGTGGTTTTAATGCTTGTCAAATACTTATAAAACACTTGAAAACTGCACATAGGGCATTTGGGGAGTGTTTTTAATCCTTGTAAAAAGCCAGTCTAAAGCTCATTAACACCTAACGCTCATACTAAAGCTCATCAACGCCTAACGCTTATACTAAAGCTATAGCAGCGTTTGGTAGGAGTAAGAAATTTAGTCAAGTGTGAACAAGCCCTTAGTCTCAGAGGCTTGCTGCCCATTGAACCCCAATAAAGCTGGAGCTTCACCATACACCTTAATTCTCATCAATTTATAAAGCTTTTATACATTGTTCAACAAAACACAACTGAATTTGCTACTCTATATTAGTGTGCCCCTTCTATGTACGCTATAGCAGATCTGATTTTTTAGATCCATTTTAGCTACAAAAGGTGGTGTAAACTGGTGTAGTGTAGCAAATTCAGTAAAATAATGTGATATTGCATTAATCAAAATCATTACATTTTGTGGCATGCAGAGTTTTTTTACATTTCAATCAAAAATAAGTTTTAGCACAATTTCACAAAGCAGGAGTAGGAAATGTATAGTGTAATCTCTAGATAGCATTTCAAGGCATACTAATCAGACTGCAAGTATCTGATCTCAATGTAACTCACTAATTCTGTCTCACGTCAAAACTGGAGTATGCTTGTGCCTGCAGCTTTCAGCATGACTTTCTGTATCATTGCCCACAACAGAGATTACAGAATATAAGCCCAGAGTGCTGTGTAAACATTAAAAACTAGTACTTGCTTCTGTCTGTTATAGAAAATGGGCTGACTGTACCTCAGCATTGGTGGAGAGGTGAAATAAAGTACTTCCAAATGCTTCTGTTTAACAGTCTAAACAAGTCCCAAATCCAGATATAATATGCATGATCCTCAAAATGTAATAAAAAACAAAATACAATGTTGTTTACCTCCTATGTTATGCCTTAGATGCTTCCACACCCAGCCACTGCTCATAGGGGGAGGGTTTTAGCAGCAGGGCTGCCAATAAAGAAAGCAGTGAGAAAGGCTAGGTGTAACCAAATGCTGACTGACAATGCTAATAGCCACACCCCATGTAACATCTCATCCCACAGTACTGCAAGCAGACACTGTCTAATGGATCCTCATACTACAGAAATCTGCATGAGGTGGACTTTTCTTGCACAAATATTTGTGAGTCTTTGCAAGGGGACTAATGGAAACTAACTGCACTTATATATAACACTGCAACACGTTTGTTTTTAAATGGGAGGTCCTAGTTCTACTTTACCTATTGGGCTCACACTAAACATGAAGCACTTGAGGCGCACTTTAAATGAGGTGTAGAAATAGGTGCCCCCCAAGATTAATGTCCTATTGAACTGAAACTTCACTTTGAAAACACTCTAACCTGACATATTTAAAGTTGTTGTAAAGGCTGAAGGTTTTTTAGCTTCATGCATTCTATGCATGAATGTAAAAAACCTTCTGTGTGCCTGAGCCCCTTCATTACTTACCTGAGCCTCACTGCAATCCAGCGATGTGAATGACAGCCTCGGGTCTGTTGTCAATCACAGCCAGTCAGCCAATAAGGAGAGGGGGGCGCCAAGCCACAGCTCCATGTGCGAATGGACACACAGAGCAGTGAGTGCCCCCATAGCAAGCTTCTTGCTGTGGGGGCACCAGACAGACAGGAGCCAGGAGAGCCTGCAGGGGACCCAAGAAGAGGAGGACCTGGACTGCTCCGGGCAAAACCACTGCACACAGCAGGTAAGTATATACATGTTTGTCATTTTGCAAAAAAAATGAAAAAGAAAATTAACCTTTAGAATCGCTTTAACAAATTAATCAGTAGGCTCCAAGCTGTGAAATAGTATCTCTGACCATATTGTTACCTCTGCAGTGAAATATGAGGTAAATGGAAGAACAGTCATTTTCATTGATCTGTGTCTTTTGTTATGGTCTGATCTCATACAATCTTGAATGCCACAAAAAAATCTACACAATCAGGTGGTTTCTCTTAGGCCTTAAAAAGCGCGGGATGTTATAAAAATACCAGTAGCGCTTGCTGAAGAATGCTGCGTTAAAAGCACAAGTTTTATCAAGTTTTTTAGCGTTTATGCATTAGCGGTTTTCATAAGCGCCAAATAGCAGCGTTTTTTAGCATTAGAGCATTTTGACAGTTGAAAAACTCATCTTCAAATGCGGTAGTTGGGGGGGTTCCATCTTGAAAACACACCTGCCAACAAACGCCGATAAAAGCCTGTGTGTGTATGGACACATAGGATAACATGCTGGGGAGTTTACTGGCTATAGGGGAAAAAAAAAAAAAAAAACCGCCTGACGCCCAAAACAGCTATATAAATGCCCAGTGTACATAAGGACTTACTTATGTACTAAATATTTTAAATATGTAGACTCAGCACCTCTTTAATATCCACAAAAATATTTACCTCACAATAATGTACCATTTTCACATAAAATGGTATATAAGGGGTGGTAGGAGGCATCACAATTCGTTCAAAAAAAGTAGAGTCATCAAGCATCTACAGGTTCAGTGTTGCCATGTGGGTCTTGTAACACAACTTTGAAATAAGCAGAAAATAAAAGTTGTGATGATAGTGGCTGCTGCTAACATCAAATTGTGTTCCCACAATAGAAGAGCAAATTTAAAATAAATAAGTGATGTAGCGCTGCTATATAATAGCTACAAAAAATGAAAAAGTGACATAACTGCATAAAACATCCATAAGGAATCCATAAATGTAAAATCAATCAGTTAATATTATGTAATAAAGATTCTTCCATGATTCATGCGTTTTCTTCTTGTGCTGGTATCCCAAACACCATCAAGTGAAATAGTGCACATAACATATAGTGCCACCTCAGTGCTCACAGAACACTCACCTCAGAGCACATGGAAATGCGCTTTATAATATCAAAGACAAAAGGATTCTTCACTTTTTTAATCCACAACCATATGATAGTAATCAGACACCTTTGAGCTTTCAATAGATTGTCAAACCAGAGCCAGGGATCGGTCCCTTTAAGGGTGATGAAGGTCACACATAGAAATGTGTTTGGGATACCAGCACAAGAACAAAACACATGAATCATGGAAGAATCTTTATTACGTACATAATATTATTTGACTGATTTTACATCTATGGACTCCTTATATATGTTTTATTCAGTAAAGTCACTTTTTCATTTTTTGTAGCTATTATATAGCAGCATTACATCACTTATTTTTAATTTGCTCTACTATTGTGGGAACACAATTTGATGTTAGCAGCATCCACTATCATCACAACTTATATTTTATTTCTGCTTGTGTTTTTTTTTTTCTCTCTCTCTCATTATTGAGGTAGCGCAGGGGGTTTCACTACTATAATGAAGACGATCGCCTAGACTTACTACTGAAGAAAAAAAACCCAAAATGAAATAAATCATAATAATTGAAGACATTTTATGTCATTTGTACCATTCATGTTCCAGGTAAAGGCATCTCGTAACTTCTGTCCATCTATCTCCATGTCCAACCTGATAGGAACTAGTACTTCTGGCTGAGAAGCATTTTCATGAATAACAGCTGGATCATGGTCATCAAAACTGTTAATGAGTGAAAAACATCAGTCAGCTCTAATCGAAATTTCAGCAAAACCAGAGTAGCACAAAGCCATATCTAACCAGTAAAACAATGTTCTATTCAAACAGAGCGGAAGGCCCACGTCATATGTTCTTGATTTCTAGTCTATACCTGTCCAGTGCTCCCCCCCCCACGTTTTATTGGAATTCATTTTTACAAGTCCCCTTTTCAAGGATCTTTTATTTTACTACACAAGCCATATAGAGAAGATCTACATGGAGCTGTGTCATATCAGAATAGTATATCACAAAAATGCAGGGAATAAGGGGGGGTGTAGGGTCTTGAGGGGCAATAAAAGCATTCTAGTCATTTAAATCATAAATAGCAAATCAATGTAACATTCAGGTGCAAGATATTACTATCTATGAGCCAAGCAGACAAGTGTTGACATAAAAAAAAGTTCAGGTACCAGGTGCAACATTTTATATGTACTGTCTGACACCCAAGATTTCTCTCGCTCTACCTTTAGCCCTGGTTCACACTGATGTGACTTCAGGTGTGACAAGCAATTTACAAAGCGCAGCTGAAGTCACATCTAATGTATTTCTAAGGCACGGTCTTAATCAGTGCGATTTGAAGTAGCGCAATTTCAAAGAGTTCCTGCACTACTTTTTTCCGATTTCATTGTGACTTACGTTGACTTCTGCTAAATGAAGTTGCAAGCCAAAGTGAAATCGGAGGTACAAGTCGCACTGATCTGTGGCTTTGAAATTATACTACTACTCAAGTAAAGCAACGCAATTTCAAAGTCACATTCAGTGTGAACCAGGACTAAAGGCGATTTAAAAAGGCTAAAGATTTTTTTTTTTTTTTTTTTTAACCTTTATGCCTTGTCGGCATTGAGTGCAGCTCCCGCTTTGCACAAGTCTCAGCTCTCTGGGGACTCTCACTGCTCCTGTTGTTATCAATCACAGCAGCGAGGAGGGAGCGGGAGAGCAAGGGCGAGCCGCACTCTTTGCTTCTATAGAAAAAGGAGATAGGAGCCAGGAAGGCTGGTGGAGGACCACAGAAGAGCAGATAAGTGTGACATGTTATTTAAATAAAAATATGGCTTTACAATTACTTTAAGTAGAAACTAATGATTTTGGGTCAGATCCTATTTATTATTTTTAAAAGTTCATACATTTATAAACTTGTTTTTTTTTTAAATCTATTTACAATCTTCAATTTACAATTAAACATTAACATGTATGCCTCGTTAAATTTAAAAAAAATAAAAAATAAATAAATACATTTTTCTCTGCAATACATACACAATTCCCCATATTTTACGGTTTCCAAATGTTGCAAGTACTGAAAAATAACTATTAAGCCTGCCATAAATCCAGTGGGCTTTAAACTTTCTAAAATGAGCCGACAATGATGCCTTTGTTACACTAAAATCCTAAACATTGCTCCAGCCCTGCCCCATTCACCCGTGATGGACTACAAACACAATCCCTTTGCAGAAGAGGCTGAACTGTCTGTCCACTAGAGGAAGTCAGCAGCTTACTGGTTTGCTGCCAGGATCAACAGTTGTTTTTATGGACTTGCACATTTTCTCATGTTTAACATTTAAAGCAGAACTTTACCCATAACAACTTGATAAAAAATAATGTTCTTTAGCAAGAAACATGCATTCCACAATAATTATGCTACCAAAATGAGTGTTTGCTGTAAATTGCCTCCAGCATTGCTCCTGTTTCTTCTTGACAGAGACTGCCATTTTCTAAAGCCCAGAGCCCATGAGCAACAACAATTCCTTAGGCTGTCAGCAGATCGGCCTCTACAAAATCGGCACAGTGCCTAAAAATAGAGAGCAACTGAGCATATGCAGAGCAGAATGAGAAAACCGTATAGGCACTTATTTTTAATGTTTTACATAGCTATACCTGCAAAAGGGGCCAGCTTGAAGTGATCTAGCAAGACTTAATTTTCCGACTAAATTTTCACTTTAATACTGCATGTATTGCAAAGATGTAAGAGAATACATGCTTTTTATTTTGTGTACACACTTTATTTAAATTATACAAGATTTCCAGAACACTATGGGTTAGATAAAAAGATAGCAGAGCAAAGGTTATATTCTGCAGCGGGGACTGATACACTGATCATAACTGCAATGCTGATCAAATAGAAATTTTCCAACAAGCTGGTTTGAGAGATGTCCCTGCTGAACTGGGTGAATTTCGGTCCATCTATGATCTGCTTGAAGTTTCATCCTCAGCTGCTGAGTCCTTTAGCTCTGTATACCAAATGCTTATCATCAAAGAAACAATCTGACAATGTGAAAGTTCATCTAAAGCTCCACTTGGTGGCTTAAAGGGATAGTTCACCTTCACCAAAGAACTGCCTAGCAGTAAGGGTCGTCTGTGGATAAAAAACTGTGCGTCTCTGACTAAAGCTGAAAAATGTCCTATAAGCTATAAGTGTAGGCCATTTACGAACCTCATGAAGTCTGACTGGAATACTCCCAAAACGTTGTCAAGTGCTTCCAGGACATTGCTAAGTGGAGCCTAGTCCTTAGTGATCAGCACCGCCATCACAGGAGTGAGCTTTTTCTCCGATTCAGACCCCCTACATGCTCTCTTTCTCTCCCCTGATCTAGTAGGTCTGAGCTCAGAATGATAGCTCACTCCTGCGAAGGAGGAGGTGAGCAGTAATGACTACGCCTCACTTAGCAACATCCTGGGAGTATTCCAGTCAGGCTTCATGAGGTATGTAAATGGACTACACCTATAGCTAGGGTATTATTCAACTTTAGTCAAAGCTGAACAGTTGGTTTTTATCTACAGACACCCCTTACCTGCATAGGCGTTTTTTGGTAAAGGTGAACTACCCTTTAAAAGAACGTAATATATTAATATGCAACATTTTATACTCACCTGACTAAAACTGAAATGTATATGTTAAGCCTACCCATCACATATTCTGTACAAAACCATTCCTAATTCTTTAACAATACAATATTCTTTAACATTGTATCATTAGAAGTAAAATCCACAGTGCAATGTTATAGAAACAAAGTTTAGACAAATCTCACCAAAGAGGGAAAGTTCTTTTCTTGTCACGACCCAAGCGATTTCTGTTAATAGTAGTCGAACAGGGCACAGCATCTAAGTGATGGGAGCTGTTGGGCAGTGTTGGAACCCACTGGCTGTTTCTCTTTGCTTTTTGTTCCCTAACATTAAAAACAAATAGATGAACAACAGGTATTCAAAAACTTTTTTTTTTTACAATAGGATATATAACCATTAAATGAAGAAAGGCAACTTGAATCATTGAGCAAATTTATATATCCAATACCCAGAAGACGTCAGCAGATATGGCTCATCTTTTACTTTAAATTTAAAAGTAATTTAAAGCCTTGTATAAAATTAATAGCATACTTAGGCTGTAAAAACACTAATTACCCTTTGACTTGCATCTATTAGCTATATCTTTTAGCCCTGTTCACGCTATGTTGCGCATTTGTGTGTTTCTTTTGTATGCTGTCACGCTTCACATAAAGGGCAGCACAGTCATTTCAACGGTCTGCCCTACGCTTGCCAAAGAAGGTCATGTACCTTTTTAAACTTCAAGCTTCGTGTGTTTTCACATGTATAATCATCTGTTTTTTTTCCCTTACAGAACTGGGGTGCTATTAAAGCGGTAGTAAACCGCAGGAAAAAAAAAGACCCCTGAAGGTAATGTCACAATGTGCTAGTATACATCGCATACTAGCACATTAGGTAAAATATACCTTAAAATGAAGCCCTCCAGCTGTCACCACTGCAGAGGCTTCCATCTTCACCCGGTCCTTCTTTCGGGTTTGCTATCTCCGGCCGTCTGACAGGCCGCGCCGCGATGGCGTCACTCCCGCACTTGCGCGCGGGAATCCTGGGCCACGGCACACAGCTCTGAAGGAACAGCACGGATATGTGGTTCCTTCAGAGCACATGTCCCAGCTTTTGGAAAGAGAGAATATCTCCTAAATGGTGCACATTTAGAATATATTCATTTAAAAAACTACTACCACTTTAACAATGGATAACAAGTGCAACAAGCATTTTTGCACCTTTCTTAAGAATTCAAAAATCGCATGCTTTTTCATATGTTCACAGACTACACCAGTGTGAATGCAGCCTTAAAATGCTCATAGATATAAGAAATTCTCCCAATCTGCATTTGTACCTCCCATCTATGTGGAAACAATAGACCATTCAGAAGCGAGAAAGCAATTACACAAATTAGAAACCTTGTTCAATGGATTCTGCGTTCTTTAGGATCACTTACCTGAGGTAGGTTGGAGGCTCTGTGCTAATGGAAACAGCTTTGTATTTCTCATCATTCCCATCTAAGATCTCTTCAACTTCTGAAGCTTTCAGTAGAGTAACACTAGTAGCTAAAGTTGTGTATCCATGATCTAAGTAATAATCATAACAAGGGAGGAAATCGTTAAATTATCTATCGGAACAGTTGCCACCTTAGTGTTACAGGAATTACATGACAGTCCAATAATAAGATTTTTTTATTTTTCTATTTAAAGGATAAGTTCACATTTTTAAAACAAATAATAAATGCACATCTTTTTGTGCACTTATTATTATTATTTTATATTAGGAGCTTGTAATGCATTGCACCAGTGATCATCAGATAGCGGGTGCAATCTCAGGCTCCTTCAGACTGTCAGTATAGCTGCACTAACACATTAGGGGAAATGCACTGAAAGTCCAGTGGCCAGATTAAGCCTGTCCAACAAAAATATGACCTGCATATTACGTAGGCAAATAATTTGAACTTTATTTTATGAACCAAAACCATCACATCCAGGCTTCAATAAATGAGGATTTCATGTGACAGACACAACTGGGACAGGGGCTTTTGGAGGGGACTGCAGGCTTGTCTCCTGCCTAATGACCATGAGCCCTGGCATCTGAGTGGACTCTATACTTTGGGAGGTGTGTGCCTGGGGGGACCGCTGGAGTAGTTTTACTTCAGATTCAAGTCTATGTCTCCCCAAAACATAGACTCTGAGAACTAGAGGATCAGGATACAGATTTGGGGCCTCTGTGCCCAAACCAGCATTGACTGCTCCAACCCCCTCCTAGAGTGGATGTTATTATAATCAGCTCAAAAGAACCTGATGCCTAGATCTCTTTCTGTAATCTATTTATTAATGTGTGATGTGTTTACATTGGGTCTTTCTCCCATTGTTAATTGAGTTAAAGTGGTTGCTGCATACAAAAGGCTTTTTACCTTCATGCATAGAATGCATGAAGGTAAAAAGAACTTCAGCCTTTACAGTTCCCCAAGCCCCCTCAATACTTACCTGAGTCTCATCATGATCCGGCGATGTGAATGATAGCCTCAGATCTTGCTGCTGTCATTTACAGCCAGTCAGCCAATGAGAGGGGGGGTGGGGCCAAGCTGTGGCTCCATGTGTGAATGGACACACGAAGCAGTGGGTGCACCCATAGCAAGCTGCTTACCTTGGGGGCACCCGACAGATAGGAGGAGTCAGGAGAGCCAGCGGGAGACTAGAGAATAGGAGTATCCAGGATGCTGTGTGCAAAACCACTGCACAGAGCAGGTAAGTATGACATGTTTGTTATTTTACAAAAAAAAAAAAAAACCTTTAGAATCGCTTTGTGTCACCTATCATTTGTCTGTTAGCTATTCCTTCTGTGGGTTCCTACATAAGTGTGCTGTCAGCTTTGCCTCGTTATCTAATCAGTGTGGAATGTTTAACACAATGTGTAATATTTGTTTTTTATTGTTCATGAAGGGACTACCCCTATTTCTGAAGTGTATAAAAACCTGTATTTTGGTTCAATAATGAGTGCAAGTTTGCACCTAAGCTAGCGTTGTCTAGTACTTGGGTGCAATGCCCAGATATAATATCTTGGTCCTGTGTCCCAGCGGCGAGAAAGCAGTTCTCTGACGGAAGCATCCAAGCGGGGTGCCAGGCGGTCCGTCACGTTTGGTGGCAGCAGTGGGATGCTTCCTGCAGTCTGGGACATCCAAATCACCACTGGGATATGAAGTCCAGTTAGCAGAAGAGAACAGGCTAGCCTGCAGTCCCCTCCAAAAGCCCCTGTTTCAGTTAGGTCTGTCAAACTTTAAAAAAAAAAAAAAAAAAAAAAAAGAAAAAAAAAAAGTGCAAAAAATTGAAATTGCAAACATTTAGAAAACCACCTATTCTCCCATATGAAGTCAAAAAGCAAGGGGTGACAACTCTTCTTGCAGCAACCTGGTTTGCATTGCCCAATTTCATCATTTCTGCATGTACATGTAAGGGCAACCTTCAAAGGACATACAGTACAAGGGTAAAGCAAGTGTTCAATGAACAACTCCAAAAACATGCCAGGAAAACTCCAAACATAATAGTTTAATAGATTTGTGTGCCTTTTGGGGCGGAACAATATCAGATTTTCTTTGCCAAGTGTATTCCAGTTAGGAAATACATTCAACAGTACTGAAAGAGATTGGCTATATGCTTTTTACCTTTAGATTATAGCATCCAGACATAACTAAAGACTAAATGACCTTACCCATCATATCTCTTGGGTTGCCACAGTGAGTGTGTAGTTACCCAACAGATGAAGAGAGTTAATCATGGACACTGCTTTGATACAAGTTGATGAGAGGGACTCACTACCAGGTCATGCTCTACCATGTACTTAAAAGATTACACTGCAAACCTTGAAAGTTATACCTGATGTCACATAGAACTTCCTGTTCCCTGGATATACAACACAAATGTTTTCCGACAGTGAAAGGAATCTTATTTTGTGCTTTATACTTGGAACCTATATGTCAATGTGCTGACTGGGGCACAGCAAGTGTATAACCAGACAAACATGGTTAGAAAGCGTGAGCAGTGAATTATCTTTGGAGACACATTTTAGTTGGCCATACATACAGAATCTCACAATCTGGAAACAAATACATTTCTCAAAAAATTAAAGGAACACTTTTATAAAACACATCAGATCTCAATGGGGAAAAACAACATGCTGGATATCTCTACTGATATGGACTGGGTAATTTGTTAGGAACACAAGGATGCCCCATCATTTGATGGAAATTAAAATGATTAACCTGCAGAGGACTGAATTCAAAACCACCCCAAAAATCAAAGTGAAAAAAATGATGCAGCAGACTAGTTCATTTTTCTGAAATTTCATTGCAGCAACTCAAAAAATGGTACCCAGTTTGTATGGCCCCCACATGCTTCTATGCATGCCTGACAACATCAGGGCATGCTCCTAATGAGACGACGGATGGTGTCCTCGGGTATTTCCTCCCAGATCTGGACCAGGGCACCAATGAGCTCCTGGACAGTCTGAGGTGCAATCTGGCAGTGTCAGATGGACCGAAACATGATATTCCAGAGTTGTCCTATTGGATGTAGGTCAGGCAAGCGTCGGGGCCATTCAATGGTATCAATTCCTTCATCCTCCAGGAACTGCCTGCATACTCTCGCCACATGAGGCCGGGCATTGTCCTGCACCAGGAGGAAACCAGGACCCACTGCACCAGCGTAAGGTCTTACAATGGCTCCAAGGATTTCATCCTGATACCGAATGGCAGTCAGGGTGCCATTGTCTACCCTGTAGAGATCTGTGTGTCCCTCCATGGATATGCCTCCCCAGACCATCACTGACCAACCACCAAAACGGTCATGCTGAACGATGTAACAGGCAGCATAATGTTCTCCATGGCTTCTCCAGACCGTTTCACGTCTGTCACAAGCTCAGGGTGAACCTGCTCTCATCTGTGAGAAGCACAGGACGCCAGTGACCTGCTAATTCTGGTGTTCAATGGCAAATGCCAAATCAACCTCTATGGTGCAGTGAGCACAGGGCCCACTAGAGGACGTCGGGCCTTCAGGCCACCCTCATGAAGTCTGTTTCTGATCGTTTGGTCAAAGACATTCACATGGCCCTGTCCAGCTTTCCTAGAGTAACTGCCTGTCTCCTGGAATCTCCTCAATGCTCTTAAGACTGTGCTGGGAGACACAGCAAACCTTCTGACAATGGCACATATTGATGTGCCATCCTAGAGGAGTTGGACTGCCTGTGCAACCTCCGTAGGTTCCAGGTATCGCCTCATGCTACCTGTAGTGACACGGACCTTATATAAATGCAAAACTAGTGAAAAACAGTCGCAAAAGATGAGCAGGGAAAAAAATGTTGGTGGCCTCCACCTGTAAAACCATTTTCGTCTCATTGTTACCCATCTAGTGCAGGCGTTGTTAATTTCATTAATACAAAGCAGCTGAAACCGATTAACCACTTCAATACCGGGCACTTTTACACCATTCCTGCCCAGGCCATTTTTCAGGTTTCAGCGCTCTCAAATTTTGAATAATTGCGCAGTCATACAACACTGTACCCAAACTAAAATTTTATCATTTTCTTCACACAACTAGAGCTTTCTTTTGGTGGTATTTAATCACCACTGGGGTTTTTATTTTTTGCTAAATTAACAAAAAAAGACCGAAAATTTTGAAAAAAAAAAAAAAAAAACCACACACGTTTTTCTTTGTTTCTGTTATAAAAGTTTGCAAATTAATTGTTCTTCATAAATTTAGGCCAAGATGTATTCTGCTACATGTCTTTGGTGAAAATAACCCAAATTAGGATGTATTTTTTAGTTTGTAGGAAAGGTATAGAGTTCACAAACTATGGGATATATCTGAATATTGATCAATCCTGAACTAACGACAGCCAATCTAATTTCTTGAGGTCCAAGAATGTCAGAATAGTACAGATATCCCCCAAATGACCCCTTTTTTGCAAAGTAGACAGTCCAACGTATTTCATTAGAGGCATGGCGAGTTTTTTGAAGTTGTATTTTGCTTGTCTAATTTTTCGGAAAATGAAAAAATGTAAGAAATTATTTTCACTATCTTTTTTTTACATACTGTCACCAGTGCAGTACAGCGTCATCATATAACTGGCATGGCGGTGATCAGGGACACTGAATGGTGACAGTATGAAAAAAAAAAAAAAAACACTATAATTTTTTTTATTTTTTATTACATTTTTTTTCTTTTTTTTAAGTTTTATTTTTCATATTTCACTATGATCAAAGTAGTACAATGTTACCATAGTAACATTGTACTACTTTGGGGAATTGATCAGTATTTTTTTTTTTTTTTTTTTACACAATTTGCTTATAGCAAAGAATTACTTTGCTATAAGCAAGCATTTACCTGAATGACATCGATTCATTCAGGGTTTTTTTGTGCTTAGCTGTGATTTGGCCATGGCTAATCACATGACACTGAACCAAATGCGATTTCTCCTGCGCTCCGGGACCCAGGCCAGTGGTGAGTAGATGAAATCAAACTCCAAAAAAGCAACCACCGGAGTATACAAGGTCGTGCAGCTCCAAACCAAGGCTGGGGAAGCGCAAACAAAACTGTGAAGTGAAACAACAAGAGGCGCACCAACCTTGTGCATTACCTCAGTAACCAAAATTTATTTAGTAAAAGAATGGTACTCACAAACAGCGAATAAAAACAGGCATGTAAGTCCTCCAAGGGACTTCAAAGGCAAGAGGCCAGCGCGAATCCCATCATGGGGGTAGGCACTCAGTACAGTTGACGCGTTTCGGAGGTCATGCCTTCTTCTTCTCAGAGCCAGAAGGCATGACCTCCGAAACACGTCAGCTGTACTGAGTGCCTACCCCCATGATGGGATTCGCGCTGGCCTCTTGCCTTTGAAGTCCCTTGGAGGACTTACATGCCTGTTTTTATTCGCTGTTTGTGAGTACCATTCTTTTACTAAATACATTTTGGTTACTAAGCTAATGCATAAGGTTGGTGCGCTTCTTGTTGTTTCACTTCATAATCACATGACACAGCTGGGCTGTGATTGGCCCAGCTTGTGCATGTGATCGCTGTGACCATTCACAGCTAGACACACTAGTATACAATGGATGGCATGAATGAAGCCATCCATTGTATACAACTGTCATGTGGCCTGCTGTGATTGGTCACAGCAGGTCACATGGTACCGGCAACAGGGCCGGTACTCAGATCTGTCATCGGCCGTGTCCAAGGTACACAGCTGGTGACAGATAGCGCCGCTGCGCGGCTCTGCAGGCACGCAAACTGCGGATGCTCGAAAGGATGCCATATGGTGTCCACCCGGAAAGGTGAGGGTTTTTGCCGGACGCCATTCGGCCATAGGCCGGGAAGTGGTTAACAACCCCCTCTGCTACTTAACTAACCAGATCAATATCCCAGGAGTTTAATTGACTTGATGCTATACTCCTGATTAAAAAGTGTTCCTCTAATTTTTTGAGCAATGTATAACTGTTGGTGCAAAATGTTCTTTAAGATCTGTTTTCTTCCACCAATATTCCAACCCATCATATCCCATGCAAAAATAATGCCACTTTCCCAAAATGATTACTAGCATATAGAGATTATTGAAGTGAAACAACGGTAAACAATTTCAGACAACCTATTTTCTGGTAAACATGAAAATGACGTAAAATGCAACAAAGAAATCTAAAACATGCATCTTTGTCCTTAAGGTGATTGTAAACCCTCAATTTTTAAAACTATACAGTTTAAAATAGAAATGAAAGGCAAAACATTTGTGTATAGACATAAAAAAACATACAGTTGTGACCAAAATTATTCAACCCCCAATGCTGTAAAGGGGTTTAGGGACTATAGTGTACATTTGGAATTGTATTCAGAATCAAATCCTACAAGGACGTTGTAACTACCCAAATGCAACTAAAATGACATCAATTGTTTATGTAATACAGTAGTAAATGGTTCTTATGTGGTTTCTTCATTGCCACAATTATTCAACCCCTTAAAGACTACCACTCTGAAGAACAGAGGTTCATACAGGTGCTTTCCATCAGGTATTGAAAACACCTGTGGATGTCACCGAGCAGCAATCAAGCATAATAAGCACCAATTAGGCAGCTTTAAAATGACTGTGATACTCAGCTCCTTCTAGACATTTACTGGTGTGGTTACAAACATGGTGAAGGCAAGAGAATGGTCCAGGAAGACAAGAGAAGAGGTGATTTCTCTTCACAGGAAGGGCAATGGCTATAAGAAGATTGCAAAGATGTTAAACATACCAAGAGACACCTTAGGAAGCATCATTCGCAAATTCAAGGCAAAGGGCACTGTTGAAACGCTACCTGGTCGTGGCAGAAAGAAGATGCTGACTTCGACTGCTGTGCGCTACCTGAAGCGTAGAGTGGAGAGAAGTCCCCGTGTGACTGCTGAGGAACTGAGAAAAGATTTGTCAGATGTGGGTACAGAAGTTTCAGCCCAGACAATAAGACGCACACTGCGTAATGAAGGCCTCCGTGCCAGAACTCCCAGGCGTACCCCCTTGCTGTCTCCAAAGAATAAGAAGAGTCGACTGCAGTATGCCAAAAGCCATGTGGACAAACCACAAAAGTTGTGGGATAGTGTTCTGTGGACTGATGAAACAAAATTAGAACTGTTTGGGCCCATGGATCAACGCTATGTTTGGAGGAGGAAGAACAAGGCCTATGATGAAAAGAACACCTTGCCTACTGTGAAGCATGGTGGAGGGTCAATCATGCTTTGGGGCTGTTTTGCTTCTGCAGGTACAGGGAAGCTTCAGCGTGTGCAAGGTACCATGAATTCTCTTCAGTACCAGGAGATATTGGATGGAAACGTGATGCAGTCCGTCACACACCTGAGGCTTGGGAGACGTTGGACCTTTCAACAGGACAATGATCCCAAGCATACCTCCAAGTCCACTAGAGCATGGTTGCAGAGGAAAGGCTGGAACATTTTGGAGTGGCCATCGCAGTCACCAGACTTAAATCCGATTGAGAACCTCTGGTGGGACTTAAAGAAAGCATTGCAGTGCGCAAGCCTAAGAATGTGACTGAACTGGAGGCCTTTGCCCATGAAGAATGGGCGAAGATACCCGTAGATCGCTGCAAGACACTTGTGTCAAGCTATGCTTCACGTTTAAAAGCTGTTATATAACTGTAAAAGGATGCTGTACTAAGTACTAAGATTGAATGTCACTTGGGGGTTGAATAAAACTGATAATGCTGTGAGCACAGAAAAGACATTTGTGGTTATTTCATTATAACTGTTATGTTATATTTGTCTGACCTACAAGTGCCTCTTTAATGTAAATGTAAGCAAGATGACTGAATGATCAAAAGCAATGTCAAACTGGCCAAAACACTCAATTTCAGTGGGGGTTGAATAATTTTGGTCACAACTGTATATGCGGTACATTTTTTTTATAAGTGATAACATACCCTCTGTTCTCAGCTGCATAAGTTCTCGGGGAGGAGAAAGAGCATTACACTGATCTTCCCAATAAAAGCTGTGCAGGAAGGGCGGGTGATCAGGACAAGTCTGACCATTGGATAAGATCACACTAATTTCCCAGCATAGCTGGAGAAGTGACCACGCAGTGTTTTCATGCCTAGTGTGGTCACTTTTAATAGGAGAAGGAAAGGCAGAAACACCAAAAATTTCCCACAAAGGAAGCAACCCAAAGAGAACAGGATATGCTTTTAAATAAATACATGGTACAGCAGGCACATACTGTATCAAGAACATGAAATGTTGAGTTTACATATTCTTTAAAAAAGGTAAAGCTGAAGTTTTTTTTACCTTTATGCATTCTATGCATGAAGGTAAAAAAAAAAAAAAAAATCGATGTGCTGCTCCCCCCACAGACCCTCCTAATACCCACCTGAGCCCCCTCTCGATCCAGCGATGTGCATGGGAGCTCACCTGTCCCAGGACACTCACCTCATTGGCAGAGACAGCAGCGGTAGCCATTGGTTTCTCAACCTTTTTTCCAGTCGAGTCACCCTTTAAAAATTACGAACAATTTCAAGGCTTTGTGTAACTAAAAGGCAAGCTTCATCCACTCGCCGAATAGTATATAATTTTTGGCCAATTTTTAGACATGTTGCCAGGCACCCATAAAGAAACCTGAAGGCACTCTATGGTGCCTGGGCACCCTGGTTGAAAAAGGCTTGCCTAGAGCAGGGCCTGGGAGCAAGCACACACCAGTGCCCCCATAGCAAGCGGCTTGCTAATGGAGGCACTGGTCAAGGAGAAGGAGCCAGGAGTGCCAAGGGGGGATCCGAGAAGAAGAGGATCGGGGCTGCTCTGTGCAAAACCACTGCAAAGAGCAGGTAAGTATGACATGTTATTTATTTTTTACAGCAGAACCTTTAATATCGCTTAAAGTCATGCACAGTCTTCTCTGCTAAAAGGGAAACTGCCAAAGCAGAGCTACTAACTGGCCAGCTCTGTCCTGTACATCACTTTTACAAACTCCCTAAGCACACACCTCATGACCAAAGCCAAGAACTGGACATGTGACCAGCTGTATGAACTGAATGAATATTGATCAAAATAAACTTATTAAGTAGACAGTAAAAGTCTACTTGAAGGTCTACAGCCAAGTATTAAAAGCATGTAAAAACCCAGAAAACTTTAAAACAGTATTTACATTTCTTCCCATGTGAGGAGGCTACAATCTTCTTCCTTTCTTCAACAGTGGCCAAGCGTCTCCAAAGAGAAGGGTACCTTTTGTACAGTGAGCCCCTAAACATGCGCAGGTAATTCCCCACCTGTAAAGAAAAATAAATGTATCACCTTAGAAACCACAAATGACAGCAACTTGCAAAACAGGTATCTGAGGAGACACATCGTTAGTCTTGATAATTGAAGAAAGTGACCCCAGACACACCAGAACATCAGACTCACAATGTGGGTACAAAGGCTCTCCAGCCTACATCCAACAATGTATCTCTAGAAACCACTAAAGTAAATCTATCCCAATATAAATATGGGAGCTGCCATCCCGGATTTGTTATAAAAAAAAAATGCCAGGGACCAAGGCTGTCATCTTTATCCATGCTGCATTTCTTGGCGAATCAGAACTGGAATGCAGAACATCCAGACTATGGTGGCTGCAAGATTGATCTAGGTTTAATGAGTATCAATAACACTTTGGGGTAGATTTACTAAATCTGGAGCAGCTGTACATGGTAGCCAATCAGCTTCTAACTTCAACTTGTCCAATTAAGCTTTGACAATTAAATCTGGAAGCCGATTGGTTTCTATGCAGAGCTGCACCAGATATTGCACAACCCAGTTTTAGTCAATAAACAGCTTGGAGTCTGTAAACCAGAGCAAGTATGCAGATCAGGACTTCTGACATTCCAATAAGCATACTTGTTCCAGGTCAGTAAATGCAAATGTGCTGAAGCCAAAAAGTTAGAACAGCAGCCAGGAAAGAAGTATTATTTGAAGAATGTAAACAATGGCAATGGTCATTAACTGCTTTTCCGCCGCCCTCTAGCAGAATTACTTTATTAATTATTGCCCCAAATTGTGTATAAATACCTGATTTTACATCCCTGGGTAGGGGGCGTGTGTGCGCCATACCTGCGCCGCTGTTGGAGGCCTCAGCTGTTGATCATCGGGTCCCGGACGGTGATTCCCTGTCAGCTCCTGTACACTGCTGTGTATTGCTCTGCATAGCAGAGCAATACAGAGCAATGTGCTTACACAGTAAATCACACACAACACCAAGTAAAACAGCACACAGTTAACCCTCTCAACGCTCCAGATGTTAACCCCTGCCTGCCCAGTGTCATTAGTACAGTGTCAGTGCTTTTTATTTTTACATTTTTTTACTGGACATGTTTAACCACTTGCTCTCCTGAGGATTTAACCCCCTTCCTGACCAGGCCATTTTATGCGTTACAGCGCTGCGTTACTTTAACTGACAATTGCGCGGTCATGCAATGCTGCACCCAAATTAAATTTACGTCCTTTTTTTCCCACGAATTGAGATTTCTTTCCGTGGTACTTGACTGCTTGTGCACTTTTTAATTTTTTGCGCTATAAGAAAAAAAATACCGACAATTTTGAGAAAAAAAACAATAATTTTGACTTTTTGCTATTAAACATGTCCAGTAACAAAATTAAAAAAAATCAAATTTAGTCATAAATTTAGGCCAAAATGTATTCTGCTACATGTCTTTAGCTAAAATAAAATCCCAATATGTGTAAATTAATTGGTTTATGTGAAAGTTATAGTATTTACAAATGGCGGTATAGATACTGGAATTTTTTTTTTTTAAACTAGTAATGGCGGCGATTAGCGACTTTTAGCAGGACTGTGGCGGACATTCTGACACTGAGAGGAACTGGCTTGGTGTCACTGACATCCCCAGTGATCAGTGCTAAAAAACAAAGCCCTGACACTGTACTAATGGCACTGGGCAGGAAGGGGTTAACATGAGGGGAGATCAAAGGGTTAACTGTGTGCAGGGTGTGTTTTACTGGGGAGCAGTGTCAGTGTGTTTCATTGCAATCACACTGTTTTGGTTGGCTGTGCTGTGCACAGCCACCCAGAGCAGTGTGCCCGAGCTGACAGGGCAGAGGACTGTTAGTAAACAAAAAACAGTCCTCCCCCCCGTTGGAGATGCTCAGTAATAACTGGCCAGGACCCAGTGATTGACAGTCACGGAAGGCAGCACGCGTCCTCGGCTCATGCGCGCCCCCCTACCCAGGAATGCAAAATCCCATATATATATATATATATATATATATATATATATATATATATATATATATATATATATATGGGATTTTGCATTCCTGGGTAGGGGGGCGCGCATGAGCCGAGGACACGTGCTGCCTTCCGTATATATATATATATATATATATATATATATATATATATATATATACACACACACACACTATTTTGCGCACCCCTGCTGCCCTGTAGCAGTATATCTGCTATAGGGCGGCGAGAAAGCAGTTGATAGCAAAATGTGAAAAACATTTTTTTTTTTTTCAAAATTGTCAGTCTTTGTTTATAGCGCAAACAATAAAAAAAAAGCAGATGCACTCAAATACCACCATAAGAAAGCTCCATTTGTGGGGAAAAAAAAAAGTACATAAATGTTATTTGGGTACAGTGTTGCATGATCGTGCAATTGTCAGTTAAAATAATACAGCATCGTATCGCAAATAATGGCCTGGTCAGGAGGGGGGGGGGGGGGGGGGGGGGGGGGGTGGGGGGGGGGGGGGGGAGGTTAAAAGTAGAAAAAAAAAAACTACCTGCCCGATGGCTGGAACTACATTTCCCGGGTGCTTGGCAACAGGAATCGAACATCCCTGATGACTATTTCAAACCACACTACCCGTGCACCTATGTGAACAGGCACCATAGGAAGCAATGTTTTTTCACGTCATGCGGATTGGATGCGGTTCAAACCACATGCAATCTGCATATATGTGAACCGGCACTGAAGCTACACTGAAATGAATTGTTGCTTTGTGGCATTTCTATAAAAATAAACAGTGACTTGCTAAAAAAAAAAAAAAACTAAACAAAAAAAACTAAAACCAGTGTCCCCCACTGCTTATAGAGTACATACACCAGGCTGCATAGATAAACTGCTTGATTTTCTGTGCAGGCTGAAGTGAACAAGCCTTTAACCACTAGCCTACAGGGCTGTTGCACTTTGAATGACAATTGCGCGGTCATTCAACACTATACCCATATGAAATTTTTATCATTTTTTTTGTGACAGATAGAGCTTTATTTTGGTGGTATTTAATCACCTCGGGGTTTTTTATTTATTCTTAAACAAACCAAAAATCACTGAAAATTTGTTATAAAATTTTGCAAATAAATGATTTTTCTCCTTCACTGATGTGCGCGAATGAGGCTGCACTGATGGACAGATAGGTGGCACTGATGGGCATTGACAGGCATCACTGAAAGGCAGCACTCATATGGCACTGTTAGGTGGCACTGATAGGCAGCACTGATAGGTGACACTGAAAGGCAGCTCAGATGGGTACTGATATGTGGCATTGATGTGGCAATGAAATGTGGCACTGATGGACACTGACAGATGGCACAGCTGGGGCTACAGAGATCATCAGTGCCCTGATGATCAGTGTAGATATCCCCTCTGAGTAATGCTGATTACCGGCTCTCCTCTCCTCAGAGTGACAGCTCGTGAGGAGAGAAATGCACATAACCGGCATTTCCCTATTTACATGTGATCAGCTGTGATTGGACACAGCTGATCACATGACTGAGCCGACATCTTCGGCTCTTTCCGTTGATCGGTGATCCGCTGTGTCTGAGGGACACAGCGCACCACCGATCACCATGCACTCCCGGAGCCGTGCATGTGCGGTAAGAATGGGAGGACGTCATATGATGACCTCCCAGAACGAGAGAACTGCCTTGCGTCCGTCATTTTACTATATGGCGGGTGAGAGGCGGTTAAATGACATGTTTGGGTCCCATTTGAGTCTATAGAATATTGGTGCTCAGGAGTGGTGTGCACAGCTAATTGTATTGGGGGTTAGGAAGGAGTGCCAAGAGGGGTGGAATTCTACATAGACATTACCTTGTACTTTTTATTTCTTACAGGTACTTGCATAGCGCTGTAATTTACGTAGCACTTTACACACACACACACACACATATATATATATATATATATATATATATATATTGTACATTCACGTCAGTCCCTAACCCTCAAGGGGTGTACAATCTAAGGGTGCTAGCTCACATTCATACATACACATACCAGGGCCAATTTAGACAGGAGCCAATTAACCCACCTGCATGTCTTTGGAGTGTGGGAGGAAACCTACACAGGCACAGGGAGAACATGCAAACTCCAGAGAGGTGGTGTCGTGGTTGGGATTTGAACTAACGACCCTAGTACTGCCAGGCAGAAGCGCTAACCATTTAGCCACTGTGCTGCCCACACTTTAATACACAATTTCCTTCCTTCCTTTTTGGGGACCAGCATACACCCCAGTGCACTTCTTTGTGTGTCTGTTCACACGCTTTTTTTTTGGTTCACTTTGTTATATCGTTTTTGCGTACTGTGGACTCGAACAGAAGAGAAAACAAAATGTGTATGAATGAGGGCCCTTCGATTGTAAGCTCCTCGATGACAGGGACTGATGTGAATGTACAGTATGTAAATGCCTATTAATTATAAATAAATCGGATATCTTCACACACAAGGGGCACTTATTTACGCTTGCAATTGGAAGGGGGATAAGCGTTAAAATCCCAACGGATGAGCTATGTTTTTACCACTCCTCAACTGCTCCCCTTTTTCAGTCGAAGCAGCGGCTGGGGTATACACATGCTGTTGCAGAAATGATACCCCATCACGCTCCACAGCCCCGCCAAGCAAGACTTATTGAAGTGAACGGGGCCATGCTGCAGCCGCACACAACTACAGCACAGATGTTTGGTATTTAGGGGGTTAAAACAGGTGGTGAGGAGGTGATACAACACCTCCTCACTGCCTATCGCTCTCTGAAGAGGGATCCGAGCGTGGATCGCCCTTCAAACAGCAAGGCGAGTGTAAACAAGGCCGAACTGTGTATGAACGATTGGTGTGATTTGTGTGGAAAACGGTACAAATCAAAACTGGGATTTCCACACAGGGAGGGATATCATAGGCCTAGGGTTGCCGCCTCATTTAAAACCAAAGGCATATTAATTACACAGGTTCTGGGGCTAGTTTATTGCAGATAAGGGACCAGGTGAGTTTAATTACCACCTTAATCAGCCCTGGAACCTGTGTAATTCATATGTTTTCGGTTTTAAAGACATGAGGTGGCAAGCCAACATTGGACTGCTATGGGCACTACAGTTGGGCCTAGCAGCCTATGTTATTCATACGAAGTAATACTGATATGTATTATACCGCCACCATTCCTTCCTCCCGGTGTAGTATGTGATATGAGGGTGTGTAGAGCCCGCTCCTCTCCTCAGCCCACCACTCGTATCATTGTCTCCCCTCCACTCTCTTTGTCTCAGGCCTCGCTCTCCGTACGGTTAGCCCAGCGGGCCCTGTGCAGCCACAAGGCCGACTTCCGCGGCCCTTACCTCGGAGCCGATCATGTAGAACTCCCCATCTTCCTCCAATTGAAATTTCACCGGCTTCTGGCCAAACGTTTTACTTAGCGCCATAATCATCTTGCCGTCCACCAGCGCCGGGCCCGCCGCACTGAGCATGCGCGGGTCATCAGCCTGCCACTAAGCGTGCGCATTGGAAGATCCTCAGACTGAGCATGCGTGGCATAGTGTATCCCTGGTAAGCGGCGCTTTGCATGAATCGTTGTGTGTGTCTGTGGGTTGTGTCGTCAGCGCGCGTGTCACGTTACATACGTTCTCCAGTCTTGTTCATACGCTGGTTCATGGTAGGCTGTAACATGGTGCTTTGGTAAGAATTTACAGAGCGCCTAGCTGGTATATACAGCCAAAACAATTTTAGTTTCTTTTGGAGAATCAAAAGAGTTACATTTACTGTTTTAATACAGCACAAAAGCATTGTGTTTCATTGCGCTACTATGGAGTATCCTGTACCAGAATCACAAGCCCAGGAGCTGATCAATTCATCTGTCCGGCTTAGCCCAGATGGAAGAAAAATATATTTTGAAATACATTTAAAAAATATTCTTCCCAAATATATTGACATATGTTTGAAATGCTACAATTTTGGCCATATTCAATATATTTCAATAAATATATATATATATATATATATATATATATATATATATATATATATATACACTGCATGTTGAAATGTGTTTCTTTTACAAAATATATGAAAAGTATTTTTAAAAATACATTTCAAATATACTGTATGTCTTTAAAAATACAAATCTACATTTTTGGAATGCATTTACAAATATATGTAAAATATATATTAAAATTACTTTTTTATATGTTAAAATTTGAAGAATATATTTAAAAAAAATATATTTAAAAAAATATTTAAAATAATAAAATTATATTTTTAACATATAAAAAAGTAATTTTAATATATATTTTTACATATATTTGTAAATGCATTCCAAAAATGTAAATAATAATGGTGTGAACCTCCTGCGCTTACTAGTGTTCAACTCTATATATAAAGAAGAGAAGCTGCTAACATTAAATCATATACCAATGATTACCATAGACATATAAATAATAAATTATAATGTAGCGCTACTCACATAATAAACAAGTGCATATAAATATATGTACCAAGTGTATCAGTTAGTGAAAAATTTCAAATCAACTATTGACCAAGTGATTTCATGCAAAAAAACAAACAATTATATGTGAACACAAAATGTGATGGTGATAATTGAAAACAATTAATGCTGATCAAATACAATCTTCAAAAATAATTATAATGACCTAAATCATATGGAAAACATATATATCTCTTTATACAAATCAGTGTAAATAATATATAAAATCACACGTGCATATAGTGAACATACTATAGTGAAACCACAATACAAAAACAACACAATCAGTGGTCCTAAAGTCCACTATATGCCGATGGTAACACTTAGATGACACACACTCATGCTGATATTTTTGTGCAAGTGGATATGACAATCCGACCACCGTCTGGATAAGCCTCTCACCTTATAGCTTCGACCCTTGCGGGTCAAAGCGCTTTACTGGATCCTTCTCACGGATCCTCCAAGCCTGCTATCCCTCCAAATGGTCACTCCTTGTGGCACTCAAGGGGTCAGCACTCCACTAATGGCTCCTCTCCAGGTAAGATCAAGTGTAGCACCAATCTCTCATGTGAGACATAAAAAAATAGATCCTCCCATAGAGTAGTAAATTTATTTGTAAAGTAGGGACAATAACAAAAATAATAAACTCACATAGCAGCAGTATCCAGTTCAAACAGTTCAAACCTCATGCTTTCGGATGAGGAAACGAATGTATGGGTGTACAACGGGTGTACAGGTGTACCAAGATGGCCGCTATGCCGGAAGTGTGTCACTACGTCAGGCCGACGCGTTGCGTCACAATACCATGTGACTTCCTCAGGGCTCAATAAGGAGCCCTGAAGAAATCACATGGTATTGTGACGCAACGCGTCGGCCTGACATAGTGACGCACTTCCGGCGTAGCGGCCATCTTGGTACACCTGTACACCCGTTGTACACCCATACATTTGTTTCCTCATCCGAAAGCATGAGGTTTGAACTGGATACTGCTGCTATGTGAGTTTATTATTTTTGTTATTGTCCCTACTTTACAAATAAATTTACTACACTATGGGAGGATCTATTTTATGTCTCACATGAGAGATTGGTGCTACACTTGATCTTACCTGGAGAGGAGCCATTAGTGGAGTGCTGACCCCTTGAGGGATTAGGGTGCCACAAGGAGCGACCATTTGGAGGGATAGCAGGCTTGGAGGATCCGTGAGAAGGATCCAGTAAAGCGCTTTGACCTGCAAGGGTCGAAGCTATAAGGTGAGAGGCTTATCCAGACGGTGGTCGGATTGTCATATCCACTTGCACAAAAATATCAGCACGAGTGTGTGTCATCTAAGTGTTACCATCGGCATATAGTGGACTTTAAGACCACTGATTGTGTTGTTTTTGTATTGTGGTTTCACTATAGTATGTTCACTATATGCACGCATGATTTTATATATTATTTACACTGATTTGTATAAAGAGATATATATGTTTTCCATATGATTTAGGTCATTATAATTATTTTTGAAGATTGTATTTGATCAGCATTAATTGTTTTCAATTATCACCATCACATTTTGTGTTCACATATAATTGTTTGTTTTTTTGCATGAAATCACTTGGTCAATAGTTGATTTGGAAATTTTCACTAATTGATACACTTGGTACATATATTTATATGCACTTGTTTATTATGTGAGTAGCGTTACATTATAATTTATTATTTATATTCCAAAAATGTAGATTTGTATTTTTAAATAGATAGATATGTAGATTTATTGAAATATATTGAATATGGCCAAAATTGTAGCATTTCAAATATATGTCAATATATTTGGGAAGAATATTTTTAAAATATATTTCAAATATATTTTTCTTCCATGTGGGAGTGTTTTAGCATGGCTCCTATTAAAAGTCATTCTAGCTTATTGTGAGTGGGCCCTTTTTTAACTACTGGGACAAACAAGTGTAATTCCAATACTGATTGGTGTATGGGACTCAAGGGGGGGGGGTTGTATTTAACAGAGTCTGATGCTAAAATTACCACCTTAGGGTAACAAACTCTGAACACAAGGTGGCACTGCAACATAAGCCCTTCCTGTTCATAGCATTTAAGGCGGCAGCATGTCTCCTGACTGTTTCTAGATTTCTAGAACTGGATATGCACTTGGCCTGCACTCATCAAGCTGTTTGCAAAAAAATATAAGAATAAACAGCGCAAAAATAGACCTAAAATCAATTATTAATAAATTACAAAATATAAATGTCCCATATCATTAAGTGCATATCTGTGTCAGAGAAAATTTCTTTCAAGAAAAGGACACCATAAAAAGTCCCTTGTGGTGAAAAATACGAACTCCAAATAATTTTTCTAGCCTTCCACCTTTCACCCGTGCACACCAAAATCAAATGCACTCACCAGATTTTGGTGAATGAAAAGCCTTTAGGATCTTATGGGAATCCTATACCCTCTTTCCATCAGCTCAATGATAGCCTCTCCAAGATAAAATCCTCTTACAGGTCCTCACCGTAGCTCCCAAGTTTGCTCCACCGTATCATCAAAGAGAAAACTCACATAGTGTAATATTGCCAGATCAATCTTGTACAATAACAAACAGAATCCAGGCCACTCACATTTCAATAGCTTGTAAAAGGCCCATTTATTAAGCCCATGACATCCTGATGATCACAACCAGCCAACATACTCCAGGGTTCCCACACCAATGTAGCCAGATAGAGCAAAGGAACAGCAGAGAGCCAACCTAAATCCCGCAAAATGGCCGCTGGGACGCACCACTCGGCGTGCGTTCCACTCACGGGAAGTGACGTCAGACGTAAGGCGAATGAACCGGAAATGCATCTTATGTCTGACGTCACTTCCGGTGAGTGGAACGCACGCCGAGTGGTGCGTTCCAGCGGCCATTTTGAAAGGTGGAAGGCTAGAAAAATTATTTGGAGTTCGTATTTTTCACCACAAGGGACTTTTTATGGTGTCTTTTTCTTGAAAGAAATTTTCTCTGACACAGATATGCACTTAATGATATGGGACATTTATATTTTGTAATTTATTAATAATTGATTTTAGGTCTATTTTTGCGCTGTTTATTCTTATATTTTAATGTTTGTGTATTCACAATTTTGCACAGCAGCAATTTAGAAGGGTGATTTATTTAATTTGTGTTTTGGCGCAGGATTATTTTTCTTTTATTGTTTGCAAAAAAAGGCCAGCAGAGGGTAAACAACTAGTCACCAGCATTACGAGTAGCCTCCCTGTAGCTAATCTTTTCCCCAGGACTGATTTACCTTGCCTTGTTCTGCACTGTGTGGAAGAGGTCATCTTGTTAGAGTCAGGTCATTGCATTCTCATGTCATAGATGCTCCTTGATTCCAGGTGATGTTATGAGGGTAGAGTAATTATCAAAATCCACAGGGGAGGATTCTAAAGGGCTGTTTCACAGAATGAATCAAGCAGAAGCAGGGGTTGCGTGCACTGCAGTACCTCATGTACAGCCTCCTCTTCAGCAAGAAGAAAAGTAAGCAACATTTTACTGACATCACCAAATATCATTACAAATCTCTCGAGACTATCAGCATTGCCTTAGAGCTTACACTGCAGATATACAGCTGTTAGGCTGTAGGCACAGAAGCGCCCCAGCAATTATTATTATATTACTATACAGTATTTATAAAGCAATGGAAGTAAACTGCCGTGTTTCAGGAGGAAGTAGACAAAAGGTACATTTCAGGGTACTGTTTAGGCACAAAAACATTTCTAGGTGTTCACTATAACATAGCAAATCAACATGTTTTGAGTCCAGATTCACTTTAGGTTGTCTTTAACCTCTTGATGCCGTCTGAACACATACTGTATATGTGGTCTCACGGAAGTGGGTCTTTATCCGGGAAGTTGTATATATGTGTACCTGTTTTTGTACTGGGAGTGTGCCACGCAGTACGCTCCCCACACAGAGACCGGTCTCTTTCCAGGAGCCCCGGATCTCATACTAA